GTTCTTGTTCTTGCTCGACCTAAAACAAAGTAGTAGAACCCCGCGCTGCTTGTGCGTGACAAGTGGCATAGGACGTGGCAACAGGAGAAGTGGCTACAGCCTTTGTTTTCCTTTATTATAGAAACAAGGGGCAAAAAGGAAAAGGCAAAAAAGGTGGTATTCACAATTATAATATATTTTCCCCTTTCCAGCTCAACGAACACCTCCATGTATTTAGCCCCAAGTTAGCGGAATTGAGTCAAGCAGCAGATCTCGCTGTGCCGCGACCAAACGTCCTCCCTCGCTTCAATTGCCCATTGCCGCCGCCTCCTAATCCCCTCCTCCTCCGGTGCTCGATGCTGCGACAGGTCAATTGTGTTGCAGCCGCGGCAGATTGTATCAAGGATGGGCCGCCACTCGTGTTGCCAGAAGCAGAAGCTCAAGAAGGGATTGTGGTCGCCAGAGGAGGATGAGAAGCTGGTCAGGTACATTACCAAGTATGGCCACGGCTGCTGGAGTGCGGTGCCAAAGCAAGCAGGTGCTCTTGTGAAACTGGAGAGAGAGAGAGAACGAGAGGCATTGACAAAATCTGGTTTCATGGTGGCTTGGCTTCCAGGGCTTCAGCGATGCGGGAAGAGCTGCCGGCTGAGATGGATCAACTACCTCAGGCCCGATCTGAAGCGAGGTGTCTTCTCCGCAACCGAGGAGAAGCTCATCATTGAGCTCCATGCTGTCCTCGGTAACAGGTGGTGCACCTTTCTCTTCCTAGTATGCATGCATATATGCCAATTCGTTGCTCATTACGAGCGTTGCCACAGATGGTCTCAAATCGCCACACAGTTGCCCGGGAGAACAGACAACGAGATAAAAAACTACTGGAACACTTGCATCAAGAAGAAGCTCAAGCAAATTGGCATCGATCCCAACACGCACAGGCCGCTGGATGAAGCGGGGCTGGCGGTGGCATCTACAGGTTCCGCATCGCCAGCCGCAAGCATGGACATGAACGTGAGTGTCGAGTGTAATTTGCATCACAGAACGACGACCTTGTACCCTTGCGCGTTTGAGGACATTCTTTTCAACCCCACTTCCACTACTCGATCCATTGGTGTTGGACGCCACCACCTGCTCAAGCTCCAAGCTCTCGAGGGAAGCAGCATCAGCAGCAGTAGCAGCAGCAGTAGTAACATTCACTTGACGGACTCTCTGGTGGAGAAATTCCTGGCGAGTGGGCTTGATCACACCAGGCAGCCATCTGCATCTTCCTACAGCTGTTACGACTCTGCGCTCATTTCCTCGTCCTACGACAACGAGCTGCACATGTTGCAAGGGCATGGGCCGGGGGATCAACGCCAGCCAGACCCATGTCTCTTCTCCTTCCTTGCAGCGGCTGAGGAAGGATTTGGGATGGTCAGTAGCAGGGGGGGGCTGGCGTACTACGGCGACTCTTTCAACTCCGGGGAAGCAGTAGCTGCTGCAGCAGCAGGAGCTGGCAGCAACACGGCGAGCAGCAGTAGCGCTACAGCCACGGGGGGCGAGGAGGTGGAAGCGGATGAGCACAGCAATGTGGTCCAGTGGTGTGAGCTAATGCCGGTGTCGTTCGCGGTGCACGAGTTTGAAAAATGTCATGATCAGGAGGTGGCGTTGAAACAAGAGGATCCGGGGCAGAGCCTGTGCTGGTCACAGCAAGCTGCAATGGGCATGGGCGTGGGCATGTGCATGTCTCCGGAACTGGAGCGGATTGCAGCGGTCATCGATGAGATGTAATCCCCATTTCCTGTGGTGTGTGTGTGTGTGGGTGGTGTGTGCGTGTGTGTGTTTGTATTTTTGGTATCTAAGGTCTATAGAAAGTGTGACAATGATACGAGGAATGTTGACCTGGCCGCAGGAATAGGATGTTGCCGTCCCTGACTCCTGCCCAACAAGCCAAATCCGCGAGAATGTTGGCATGATGGTGGCACTAACAGAGGCGGGATCCTTGTTTGTTGCCGTGCGGTGGAATGGACGGATGGGGCAAGGACGTGACAAGCCCCTCTTTGTTGTTTCTTGTGTCGCGCCCAGCAAGCGAAACAATGCGAGGAGCGACTTCCTAAGCTCCCGACCTCGCTTGTTCCGTGCCTCACGCTCTGGGCAGGGCTGAATCATGGCGACGCAACCGCGCAATGAGGCGCTGGAGCAGCGAATTGCGGCGGAGGTAATCGATCGCTTAGAAAATCCACGGCATGTAACAATCTCTCTTTCCGTGACGAATCCAATTCAGGGAAGCGAGCAAGCATATCATGCCATTGTCGTCCCAGCGTCAGATACGGGTGGTCCTGCTACCGGTAGAAGCCGTGTCCATCCACTTGCTTACATGGAAGGTAATGGCCGTTTCCTAGCCGCTGTGCGTGAAGGAGACATGCGTGTCTATGTGGTGACAGAGGCACAGGCATCATATGGTTATGGTACCGTATCTTGGAAGAAGAGGTTGGAAGGCTGGAGGCTACGAAAAGAAAGATATGAGATGATGACGGCTGAACCTTCTCATGCCAAAGCTGATGATGCCAGCGCCGAGAGCTTCTACTCACCAGACTTACCAGTGTATGCTTTACACTCCAATTCTGTGGCTATCAGCAGCATTTGTTGCTACTTGCAGAATGGACCAGGCAAGGCAACCGCTGTCGAGGAAGGTTCCTATTGCTTCGAGTTTGGTCAACCCTTACAGGATGGTCATTGTCATTCGGCTCGTAGCTCTGGCTTTCTACTTCCGCTTCCGCATTCTAAATCCAGTTGGCAATGCATATGGCTTGTGGCTGACATCAGTTGTGTGCGAGATTTGGTTCGCTCTCTCTTGGATAGCTCATCAACTTCCTAAATGGATCCCAGTTGTAAGGGAGACATACCTTGACCGCCTTGCCCTCAGGTATGTAAGACGATATCAGAGGTTTTGCTACGACTGATTGATGATTAAAAGGTATGAGAAACAAGGGCAGGTGTGCGGCCTGCCCGCGATAGATGTCTTGGTTGCGACGGAGGACCCGTTTAAGGACCCTCTTCTGGCCACAACCAACGCCGTCCTTTCCGTCCTCTCTGTTGATTACCCCGTCGAAAAGCTCTCGTGCTATGTCTCGGACGACAGCGCTGCCATGCTTACGTTTGAAGGCCTTTGCGAGACATCGGAATTTGCGAGAAAATGGGTGCCTTTCTGCAGGAGCTTTAACGTCGAGCCTCGTGCACCCCAAGTCTATTTTGCCCAGAAGATTGACTATGCCGACACCAAGTTTCAATCGTCTTTCGTCAAGGAGAGGCGGGCAATGAAGGCATGCATACTTTTTTTTTTTCATCTTTTGTTCTGGCTGAGTAATATTTCAGAGAGAGTACGAAGAGTTCAAAGTGAGAATCAATGCGTTGGTGGAGAAGGCTGCCAAAGTTCCTGAAGAAGGCTGGAGCATGCAAAATGGAACCCCATGGCCAGGAACCAACAGCCGAGACCATCCAGGCATGATACAGGTAATTATTATTGGAAAGAGCAGGTGTCTAGTTAAACTTGTTCGCAAATTCACAGGTGTTTCTTGGTCACAGCGGGGGACACGACAGCGACGGCAATGAGCTACCACGTCTTGTGTACGTCTCCCGAGAGAGACGCCCCGGATTCAAGCATCACAACAAGGCGGGAGCAATGAATGCTTTGGTGAAACCAATGTTTAAACTGTTTATATCACTCACTGATCACGCCTTGCTCCGTAAACAGGTGCGTGTGTCCGCCGTCTTGACAAACGCCCCGTATGTTGTGGACGTCAACTGCGCTGATTATGTCAACAACAGCCGCGCACTGCGTGAGGCAATGTGTCTTATGATGGACACAATGGTTGGGAAAAAGGCGTGCTTTGTGCAGTTTCCACAGAGATTCGGCAGCCATGACAATGAGCATGCTGTCTTCTTTGACGTGAGTTGGCGACCAGTTTCTCTTGTCTGGATTTCTGAGTTGCGCACGACTGTGTGACAGATAAATCTCAAAGGCTTGGATGGTATCCAGGGTCCCATGTATGTCGGGAGGGGATGCGTTTTCCGGCGACAGGCACTGTACGGCGTGTGTGCACCTGTGAGCGGCAAAGCGCGGCAGCGCTTGCATTGCCGGGTGGGGGACGAAGAAGGTGCGTGCCATTTTGCAAGTTTTTAGCACCTTATACAAACATTTGGACGCAGGTGACGAAAAAAGGTTGGAGAAGCGTTACGGGCAGTCACCGGTCTTTGTCGCGTCAACGAGGCAAGAAGCAGTTCCTAGTAGCCCCAACGATGACGGTAGCCTATCGACGTCGGCTCTTCTGAAAGAGGCAATTCACGTGATCAGCTGCGGCTACGAGGACAAGAGCGAGTGGGGGAAAGAGGTAAAGAGAGATGAAAATTGCTGGGAAAAGGCCTGACGCTTGCTTGGTCACAGGTTGGTTGGATTTACGGGGGAGGCGATTGTGTGGCCGGCATGTTGATGCATGCCAGGGGCTGGCGCTCCACATACTGCATGCCTCAGCGACCAGCATTCAAGAGTTGCGGGCTGCTGGACGTGGCAGGGAAATTGGAACAATTGCTGGTGCAATCTATGGCCAGCATGGAGCTTGTGTTGAGCAAGCACTGTCCACTGTGGTATGGCTATGGTGGTCGCCTCAAGCTGCTTCAGCGGCTGGCCTACCTCAGCAGCGCTTTCCATCCTCTAAACTCCATTCCACTCGTCGTCTATACCACACTGCCTGCCGTGTGCCTCTTGACTGGCAAGTTCATCCTTCCCGAGGTACGTGTGTCACGTTTGTGCCATTGTTTCATCCAACGCTCGCATGCAGTTGGGAAGGTCAGCCAGCCTGTTGCTCGTGACAGTGCTCTTGTGCATTGGTGCAAGTGCCATCCTGGAGATGCGGTGGAGTGGAGTGAGCGCGGAGGAATGGTGGCAAGACGAGCAGTTGTGGGTGATTGGAGGCGTCTCGTCGCACTTGGTTGCATTGTTCCAAGGCCTCGTCAAGGTTTTGGGTGGTGGTGACAGTTTCAGCTTTGAAGCCCCTACCTGCGTTTGTATCTCAACCGGAACCGGATGGAGCAGCCTTCTCGTCCCTCCCTTGACAATTCTGGTGATCAATATGGTAGGGGTGGCAGCTGGGCTGTCAGATACACTCAATAACGGCTACGAGTCATGGGGGCCACTGCTTGGCAAACTTCTGTTTGCCTTTTGGGTGATCTCGCACCTCTACCCATTCCTTAAGGCTACCATGGCTAGGCACAACCGCACACCCACAATCGTCATCGTATGGTCCATTCTGTTAGCATCCATCTTTTCGCTTCTCTGGGTGCGAATTAACCCTTTCATTCCCAAGCTGGTTGGTCCCAGCTTGGAGGAGTGCGGCATTAACTGCTGACTGCGCTTCACGCAGGGGTTTGCATAAGGTTGGAGAAGCGTGGCTATGGTCTCTTCCTGTAGCTCCTCCTGTGAAGAAAAACAAACCAGAGGGCACCTCGAGCTGCCGGGGCGATGGATTGAACGGGCGCTGTAAGATGCAACTTTTGTGCATTTCGTACGGGTAGCAATAAGGACGATCTGTGTCCATCGTGAGGCCTCCTCAGCTTTGTCTCCTGCTGGTTGTGTTACGGTATATCCAAGCGAGTGGTAACACCGGTAGCGTAGTAAGATTTTTGTGCGCAAGCCATGGCTTGAGACATTGGCGCAGCTTCAGGATGCCGCGGCATTGCAACCCTTTTACCCTAAAACTCCATGCAATGGAGGGGGGCTCGGAGGAGTCATCAGAGTTGGCGCAGCCCCTGCAGCTCGGCTTGGATGGCGATGGAGGCGAGGTGGAGGACTGTTTTGGTCCTGCAACAGAGGTGGCGTGGCAACCGAATGCGGCGCTGTGCCGAAACTTTGACAAGGTACGTGGTGGTGCCCGAGGACTCTGCTTTGATATCCGGTGCAGTTGAAGCTCCTTTACATCCAGTCCACGCAGCTCAATTTACGACTGCAAGCGACATGTGGAGTGCTGAGGAAAGAAAAGGTAAGGCGCTTTACCTCCTTTCATGCTCCCCGCTGTCTATAGGAAGAGATGGAGAAGAGATACTTCGCTGCTGCGGGTTTTGGAAGCGAGAGCGACAGGTGTACAGTTGCTCATTCTGTTTATTTACCTCCATCTGTGTCGTGTGTCAAGGCGTCCAGAAGATGCTGAATTGCAAGCCAGTCCGTCGCCTTTGCCCACATGCACTCGCTGACGTTTGTGTGTGTGCAGACGAGCGGAGGTTAACTCAACTTGAAGCATCCAAGAGAGCTCTCGAGGGGATGTAAGTCTCTTGCTCAATTGTTTCTCATGTCACTTTTTTGTGCTCCAGCAACGAGCCGGGAGGAATAGTAGGAGTCTGACCTGTATCCTATGCGCGCTGTGCTGTTAACACTAGTGTCAATCATGGCAGTGTAAGCATTGCGACGGTAGAGTGTCCGTTATTTCCGGGCTGGAGCAAGCGGTGCAGCAGTTGAAGTAATATCGCCCCTCGTCTGGTGAAAGTCTCACTCGTTTTTCCAGGGACCGTTTACACACATTCGAAGTGAAACACGACAACGTCTCGCAAATGGGAAAGTAACGGTGACGCAATCACGGACCGGTTCTCACATTGTGTGATACCAGGCAGGTGCAGGAAATGGAAGAGACCAGCGATGCGCTAGCCAGAGCTTGCCGTGAGGAGCAGAGGCAGAGGCAGATGTGTAAAGCCTTGGAAAGCGAAGTATGTGATCTTCGGGCTCTGCTTCGTGCCGTGGAGCAAACCAGTGCTGAAGCGGAACTCAGGCACCTGAACACAGTCAGTGCCCTCATAAAGGTGGTGTACACACGTGGAGCCTGTCACCCTCTTTGACTGCCTGAAGGATGCAGGAGAAAGAGGGCCTACATGAGGAGGTTGAAAACTTCCAGCACAAATGTAATGTGCTAGATGCAAGCTTTGGCAAAGTGCAAGAGGAGCTTCTGGACGTGAGCACGAGGCTAGAGGAATCACGAGCCAAGCTGGGAGAAGCCGTCTGTAAGAATAACGACTCACAGGCCGAAGCAGCTAGCTACAGGTGGACTTTTCCTTGATTTGTTCCAATATTTCAACGTTTTAGAGCAGAGTTGAACGAGATGAACTCCAAAGAAAGCTAGATTCGGCGAGAGGAGACATGGCAGAACTTGCGAAGTTCAGAGAACTGGATCATGTAAATACCGTGGAACAAGTGAAAGTACGTCTTGTGGCTCGGAGGTGCCTTTTTAAAAAACTTACATGCAGAGAAGCTGCGAGTCGTCGTGGCGGACGCAAGAGAACTCTTCTCAACAGAGGATATCCTCTTTGCGCCGCAAGATACATCAGCTGCAAGCGGTAATCCTTGTGACAGAGTTGGTCTATTTTGCAACTCTGACATCAGGTGTTTGCAGAAAGTCAAGCAGGCACACAAGCAAATGGCGAGGCTAACTTTTGATAGGAACGAGCTCCTGATCCAGCAGCAGGAGTACGAAGCGCAACTAAGTGCATTGCGACAGGTACCCTCTTGGCTACAAGTTTGCCTGCTGAAATGCTCCCGTTGCAGCACTCCTCCCGCATTCGAGCACCAGGCTTTCACCTCTCCTCACCCAAATCGAAACTCATCAGTGCGGAAATTAGTCAGGTTGCAGCACGTCAAGCTAGATACTTTGCCGATACCGCGCTGTGAATAATGTCCAAGAGGGAGCAGGCCTTTTGTCTCTTACACGCAGATAGTGATTGCAGGTGGTAGCAGACAAGAATGTGTTTTCGATTGTTTCATAGAGTTGAGCTAGAGTCAAATTTTATCCATTGTTAGACTCGTGCATGCAAAGTTCCCGCCACAAGCTAGATACTTTGCCGATACCGCGCTGTGAATAATGTCCAAGAGGGAGCAGGCACACGCAGATAGTGATTGCAGGTGGTAGCAGACAAGAATGTGTTTTCGATTGTTTCATAGAGTTGAGCTAGAGTCAAATTTTATCCATTGTTAGACTCGTGCATGCAAAGTTCCCGCCGCAAGCTAGATACTTTGCCGATACCGCGCTGTGAATAATGTCCAAGAGGGAGCAGGCACACGCAGATAGTGATTGCAGGTGGTAGCAGACAAGAATGTGTTTTCGATTGTTTCATAGAGTTGAGCTAGAGTCAAATTTTATCCATTGTTAGACTCGTGCATGCAAAGTTCCCGCCGCAAGCTAGATACTTTGCCGATACCGCGCTGTGAATAATGTCCAAGAGGGAGCAGGCACACGCAGATAGTGATTGCAGGTGGTAGCAGACAAGAATGTGTTTTCGATTGTTTCATAGAGTTGAGCTAGAGTCAAATTTTATCCATTGTTAGACTCGTGTATGCAAAGTTCCCGCCGCAAGCATTACAAAATACAGTTCTGAAAGAGAGAGAGAAAAAGGCTGGCCTCCACTATATGCTCCTATAATCAATCACTGTAACATCGTCTTCCGGCGCGTCAAGATCGTGATAGCTGCACGGCAGGGTTAGTTCAACAGAATTACGAAATGAGAAGAGAAACCTTCGCATGTGACGAGGGTCGTGCCTAACTGGAGGAACCATCTGCGGCGTCTCCAAAACACCCCGTCCCTTTCGTCCACGGTCACCACCATCAAATGAAGGATCAAATGGAGCGGGATGAAAAGGCTGCGGGCCGCCGCCGTGCTCTCTCCACATGCGCATGGTCACGTCAGGAGGGGCAGGGACAAATGGACCCAAGGGCCTGGCCACACAAGCTTGAGAAGGAATGCACACGAAAACAAGGAAACACTCACCCCGCGCCAGGCACAGGCATCAACACTGGAGGAGGTATTTCCGAACCAAATGCTCCCCCGTGAATGTTGGTCCCACCAAAAGGATCAAACATTGGCTGCTCCGATGACGCTGGTCCGGCCCCTTCATATGGATAATCTCCAGCCGGCGATTTATCCACGTCCTCGCCACGGCCTCGACTCCTATCCGAATTTCCCAACAGACCGGGCCTACGCCTGTGCAGCCTGCTGTCCCTCTGAAACAAATACCACCACGTTACGGACGTCATCTAGGCGAGGCTTACCTGGTTCGCTTGCACGGAGGCCACGCCAGGAGCATTAGGATCACTGTTTGGACACGTTTGGACATTAAACTCGGTAACTCGAGCATGGACGACGTACCTCATGTAGTTTTGATAGTAGAGCTCTCGTCGGAGTTTGGCCATGGACTCGTTTACAATCTCAGGATGCTTCAGCTTGAGATGCTTGTGTACAAATTCTGGTCCATGGAAAAGCTTCGAGCACCCAGTAGCCAAGCACCCATACTTCCATCCATACTTTTCGTCCCTTATTTTTCGTACGTAGGGTTCAAGCGCTTCTGACATAGACGCCTCCGACTTGTCCTTGCCAAGCATAGCTTCTACGGGATCCTGGCCCTGCAATCGTGCCTGCCATGTAGAGTCCAGCTTTTTTTCCCATTCAGCCCGTGCGTTGTCATCGCCTGCCTTCTCCTCCCCTCTGAGGTGTCGAAACCCTTTCGGCAGCTCACGTAGCTCCATCATTCCGTAGTAATCCAAACCGTGGACTCTCCACAGGTACGTGAGCATTACGTCCAGCAGTTCGATGCCCTCGAGACCCTTCACCTGGTTAGCCCCTCGAACTATAACAATAGGACCACCGGTTTCACTGCTCAAGTTCTGTTGCTCAGAAGAAAAGAGGATGTTTCCTTCTACACCCTTTTCAGTGTCCAGCTTTTTAACCAGCGCCTGCGCCTGTTCTATATCTATGGCCACCCTCTTTAAATCCGAGGAAGCGTGTTGTGCTCGTGGGATAGTATCCGCCTGACGGCCCCCCATTCTCTTGTCGTCGTCCGTTTCAACATCTGCGGTGGATCTGCTACCAGCAGCAGCAGCAGCCGCCGTCCTACACCAAGCAATGTCAGATACGAACGGGAACACCTCACCCGACTCACATGTCCAAACTTCCAGCCTGCAGCTCCAAAATAAAGTCCCGTGCACTAGACTTCGCAGTTTCAATCCTCCTGCAACCACGAGCGCACACGTCAACAATAACTCTAGATTCCTGAGATCATACCGAACCTAGCCATAAGGGAGTCCAGCCGCGACGGATCGTACTTCTCCCGTAGCCTGGACCCGACGAAATTTGTGAAACGGATAACAATTGACAAGTCACGCGACTTCGTACCAGTCTTCCTCCTTGTGCTGCTCGAAATAGGCTCGCTTCTGAGTGGAGACGTATTCCGCTTTGTATTCCTCATACCTGCACAGCTAAAAGGTGAGAAGCTGCTACGGAAGCGAGGCAAAGACCTGCGCTCGGCTTCAGCGGGAAGAATGTCGTCCTCTAGCTCCACGATAAACTGCTTGTAAGACAAGAGTCCGTCCCTGCGCGCAGCGCACGATTAGAAAAAAAGGAGCGGCAGAGTTAGGCGAGGGAGAAACCTGCGAGGGTAGGCATCACCATACATGCTTCGCCCGGACCACTCTGGAAAAACAAAAGGTGACTGAGCATGTGGAAAGGAAAGGGGAGTATGAGAGCCCACCATTAGAACGATGCCGGCCGTAGTCACCACCATAGCCTCTACCAAGAATACCATCCCTGGAGAAATGAGGCAAGCTGAGTAGCGCAAGAGCGGAAAGAAAAGGTCAAGTGAGTTACCTTCCGCCCTCATAACCTCCCCGGTCGTCATCCCGTCGAGAGCGCTTGTGGGCGGCAGGAGACCTGCGGGAGGGGGAATGGCGTCGGTCCCGGTGGGGCAAGGGAGGCGGGGACAGGCTCTTGCGCCGCTTGTTGTGCTTGTCGTGACGGCTTGCCTGCCTGCTCTCATCCTCACCTCGCCTCTTGCTGTCGCCTGCGTCGTCGGCAGCTCCCCCTTTGCGCCGCTCCGCGGTGTCCCTGGGGAGTGGCTCCGGAGGCAGATCCATGACATCCGCCATGGCCAGACTACTCTAGGGTAAGAGTGCGGGAGATTAGGGCTCAATATTAAGGCTCTAAGATTTTGGTCCAACGGGATTGATACATTTGAGTTGCCGCTCGGATATGGTGGGAGCATCTTATTTCGGGATCTTCCCGCATGGATGGATGGAAGGCTGTCCACGAGTTGAGCAAGACGCCTTTCAAGCCTGTTGCTGTCTGAGCGGCTGGAAACAAGAGTCGAAGAACTTGATCTCACAGAAAGTCCATTCCAAGCGTTGCACGCCACCTTTCTCGTCCCCGCCACCTTGTCCGTTTGAAGGCATTCATGTGATACGCGAGTGGAAGAAGGCAAGTCATTTACAGTGGAAGGTCTTCCCGTTGGAAGAGGCCATGCAACTCTCGGAGTTGACGCCCTGATACAGCGCTGATATGGACCAGGACTTTGTTGCGTCGAGATATTGTGTATTTCAAAACGCTTTCTTCTCGACGCAGCTCTACTTGGCGAGATGACTATGCCAAGAAGGTCCTCAATGTAAAAGACGCATGGAGGTCCTAAGAAGCGCATGAGAGAAAGGCAGAGAATGGGATGAGGCCCTACCTTTCCACCTTGCTCCTGCTGTAGCCGCTGAGAAACGAGAGTGAACTGCTGGAGAAGTCTCTCCATGGATGTGTAACTGGGAAGCTTGCCATGGTCTGAAAGAAGGGACAACAAGAGGGTGAGGGGCGATGGCAGGGAAAGCAGCCGCTTGCCTAGGAGCGCCCGATTCAGCATGTCTGCGATGTTCTGCCTGTAGTCCACACTGAGCAACGAGAACAAGGGCGACGTCTCTGGTTCCGAGTATGCCAGTAATGCCATGCAGTCCTGTCACCCTGGGCTCAACGCCTATCAAGGACAAACGGTTCAAGCTACCTGGAGTTTATCGACGTAGTGCTTCTCCTTCCCAAAAGGCGTTAGCTCTCGCTGTGCAAACTCCAGAGCACCTATGCTGGAGGTAGATAAACAAAAGAAGGACGAGAGAAGCGAAAGAAGAAGCTTACGCGTTTCTGGACCGCACGAGCTCTATAAAGTGGAGAGTGAGGAGATCGAAGTGCAAGTCCTTGTTGTCTAGTAAGAGGCCTGGAGCGACTCCATTGGTGAGATCAATAGCCTTGAGTGGCTCCCCTCCCATAACGTGGTTATAGATTGCTGCGCGGGCACCAGCGTGAGTACGAGAGGAGCAAGTGGGGCTGGGGATGCCTTACGCTTTCTCCTGTCGATGTCCATGGAGAAGTCAGCAGAGCAATTCATTTCCGTGGACGCTATGAAAGCCTCGGCTGTTTCTTTGAAGCAATTGTGGACCAGGTAGCCGAGCAGGACTTTTTTGACATCGTTGTCATCAACCTTCTGCAGCAGCGAGGAGTTAATAGCGCAGCTCGAGCCCTAGGCTAATCGAGAGGGCTTACCACGTTCTCCACATCCATGACCGCGCCGCGCCGCGCCGCGCCTTTCCCCCCTTCCACACAACCTAAAAATTGCTCTACTTAGGTAACAAAAATCTTTGGCATTTTTTACACACAAGGCGCAGATATTCAAATCGATGGAACAACCTTTGGCCCCCTGTAGTTCCCCCTGTGAACCACAAACTCGCTCGAAGGTCTGAACTCCTGGAGGTGAACGGGATGCGCCTCGGCGCTGTCCGTGGCTTCTGCACGCAAGTAACTGCAAGGGTTGGTTGCAAGGCGTACGTGTTTTCTTATGGAGGAGAGACCCACCTGGGGAGGTGGCGGCGGCCAGGCGGTAGTAGACGCAAGGGCGGCCGGCAGTGGTGTTGTATGGCGGCGCGAGGACGTCCAGAACCGCGCAGGAGGTGACCGCCGTGAAGGAGTGGATGTTGCCCCCGGACGTCGGGTACAGGACGGCGGTGTCACAGGGCGCCACCAGTACATGGTCCTTGACGGGCATCGCTAATCTGGCTGGGGGGACATTACATGTAAGCTTGGAAATCGCAGATTGCCCTTACGTGTGGAGGAGGCCGTGTGGTCCGAGGGATCTACCCAGTCGTACGACTTGACGTGCATGGAGCCATAGATCAGCTTGCTCAGCACGGTCATACCCGGATGGTTGTGGAGAGGAAGGGCTGCCGACTGCGGCAGGCAAAAGATTCCCATCTGTGCTACCACCATCACGGCTTAGCTTGCTCAACCAACAGCGCGTCTCAACGACTTACAGAGAACTTGTTGCACTCGTAGAGATGCAAGTAAGTGATTGCCGGGGCGGCCGATTCCGGTGGCTGGTCGGTGGAGCGCCCATTTCTCTGGCAATTGTCCTCTTGGAGGCCGAGATCGGAGCACTTGATGTCGTCTGGGAGCGGGGCAAGGCAGTAAAATCAAGGCGCAGCAGTGTGAGCAGCTTACCCAGAACAGCGCGTACCCGTGCAACAGCTTCGGGGGCTGACACGCCTTGGACGCACGAGAAGGAGGCCTTGCACACCTCGTACAGCTTCTGGACGGCCGTCATGGCCGTCATGGCGGCGACCGCGCGAGGATGCGAGTGCCCTAAGCTGCTTACTTTTCCATGAATTCCACTGCTTTGCCTCTTCAGGCTACATTCCGGGAGGTAAACTCTTTATGTTTTATGTTTTAGGGCGGATCTGACAACGTGGCGGTGGTGGCGGCTCCGCCCAGCCGCCAATTCTCCCTCCCCTCGCTCTCTCGGTCGTGGCGAGTTCGATACCCATTGGCACCAGATTGTTCTAGAAGCATTTCATGGAATATTCCCAGGGTATAAAGGAGACTGTGCTGTATGCGTGCTAGGGTTTGGGTCATTTCAAGGGTAGGTAGCCATGGCGGTGACCGATTCAAGCTCGAGCAAGGCAGAGTCTTCGGATCCGTATGTGCTTCTTTTCACTTGAATCGTTTTGATCTCCTTGCCTTTCTGGCCGCAGGAAGGGTTCGAAGCGAGACTATTCCACTGCCATCCTGGAGCGCAAGAAAGCCCCAAATAGGCTCGTTGTCGACGAAGCAACCAACGATGACAACTCGGTTGTGGCTCTGCATCCAGAGACCATGGAAAAGCTACAGCTGTTCAGGGGGGATACCGTGCTCATCAAGGTATGTGGCTTTTGTTTGCCTCCCTCCTTCCTGACGCCGGGGCACAAATCTCCGAAAATTTCAGGGCAAGAAGCGCAAAGACACTGTCTGTATTGTTCTGGCAGACGACAGCTGCGAGGAGCCTAAAATCCGTATGAACAAGGTGGTCCGAACAAACTTGCGGGTGAGGCTCGGTGATGTGGTTTCTGTGCATCAATGCGCGGATGTCAAGTATGGGAAGCGAGTTCATATCCTTCCCGTCGACGATACAATCGAGGGGCTCACTGGGAATCTGTTTGATGCGTACCTCAAGCGTAAGTTTTGGTACACGTTTGTGACAGCTCCTCACTAACAGCTTGGCCTGTGCAGCATACTTTTTGGAAGCTTACCGGCCTGTCCGCAAGGCTGATCTCTTCCTTGTGCGCGGTGGCATGAGGAGTGTGGAGTTCAAGGTTGTAGAGACTGATCCCGGCGAGTATTGCATAGTTGCACCGGACACGGAAATCTTCTGCGAGGGCGATCCTATCAAGCGCGAGGATGAGGAGAGGCTTGATGAAGTTGGTTACGATGATGTTGGTGGGGTGCGGAAGCAGATGGCCCAAATACGTGAGTTGGTGGAGCTTCCCCTCAGGCACCCGCAGCTGTTCAAGTCGATTGGTGTCAAGCCTCCCAAGGGAATCCTGCTCTACGGGCCTCCAGGGTCTGGCAAGACCTTGATTGCCAGGGCCGTGGCAAATGAAACGGGGGCCTTTTTCTTTCTCATCAATGGTCCTGAGATCATGTCGAAGCTGGCTGGGGAGAGCGAAAGTAACTTGCGCAAGGCGTTTGAAGAGGCGGAGAAGAACGCTCCATCGATCATATTCATTGACGAGATAGATTCGATTGCACCTAAGAGGGAGAAAACGCAAGGAGAAGTAGAGCGCCGAATCGTGTCCCAGCTGCTGACTCTGATGGACGGTTTGAAGAGCAGATCCCACGTTATTGTCATGGGAGCAACTAACAGGCCTAACAGCATCGACCCGGCTCTGAGGAGGTTTGGTCGTTTTGATCGGGAGATAGATATCGGTGTTCCCGACGAGGTTGGCCGGTTGGAAGTTCTCCGCATCCATACCAAGAACATGAAGCTCGCGGAAGACGTAAGAAACGTATTTGGTATTGATAAACTTACAACTGGCATTTGCTTCTGCAGGTGGATTTGGAGAAAATTTCTCACAATACGCACGGCTTCGTTGGCGCGGACCTTGCTGCCCTATGCACCGAGGCGGCCCTGCAGTGCATCCGTGAAAAGATGGACGTGATTGATCTTGAAGACGAGACTATCGATGCCGAAGTTCTCAGCTCAATGGCCGTAACGAACGAGCACTTTCAGACAGCTTTGGGAACGAGCAACCCTTCTGCACTCCGTGAGACGGTACGTGTGTCATCTGTTATTCTAGGACACTAGTAATAATGTGTTCCTTGTAGGTGGTTGAAGTGCCTAATGTTTCCTGGGAAGACATTGGTGGTCTTGAGAACGTCAAGAGGGAGCTTCAAGAGGTGGGTGTTTGTTATGAGCTGGATGCGGCTGATTCCTTATGCCGGTATTTGTGCAGACTGTGCAATATCCAGTTGAGCATCCGGAGAAGTTTGAGAAGTTTGGGATGTCGCCGTCCAAGGGAGTCTTGTTCTATGGGCCTCCTGGATGTGGAAAGACCTTGCTTGCGAAAGCAATCGCAAACGAATGTCAGGCAAACTTCATTAGTGTCAAGGGTCCAGAGCTGCTAACCATGTGGTTTGGGGAGAGCGAGGCCAATGTTCGCGACGTGTTTGACAAAGCTAGGCAATCAGCTCCTTGCGTGCTCTTCTTCGACGAGCTAGATTCCATTGCGACACAAGTAAGCGGTTTCCGGTCTTGTTATGGTTTTATCTAATACGCAAGTTGGTTCCTGCAGCGTGGTAGCAGCGTTGGTGACGCAGGTGGTGCAGCCGATAGAGTTTTGAATCAGCTGCTGACTGAAATGGATGGGATGAACGCTAAGAAGACGGTGTTCATTATTGGTGCGACAAACAGACCCGACATTATTGATCCTGCTCTACTTCGTCCCGGTCGACTGGATCAACTTATCTACATTCCTCTTCCGGATGAGGCATCCAGGCTGAAGATCTTCCAAGCCGCGCTTCGCAAGTCGCCGCTGTCCAAGGATGTGGACCTCGAGGCTCTTGGGAGGTATACTCAAGGTTTCAGTGGAGCTGACATCACCGAGATCTGCCAGCGTGCTTGCAAGTATGCCATCAGGGAGAACATAGAACAGGTACGTTCCCTGTTCATGGAGTTTGGTTTTCTGTGTTTGAACGAGAAGCCTTTCCAGGACATTGAGAAGGAGAGGAGGAGAGCAGACAACCCAGAGGCTATGGACGAGGACGAAGTTGATGAAATAGCGGAGATCAGGCCCGCTCACTTTGAGGAGGCTATGAAGTTCGCGCGAAGAAGTGTGAGCGACGCCGACATCCGGAAGTACCAGGCGTTTGCCCAGACTCTGCAGCAGTCTCGGGGATTTGGATCCGAGTTTCGTTTCCCAGACCGTCCAGCAGCTGCAGGCGGCGACTCTGCTTTTGCCACTGCTGCTGCAGAAGACGATGACCTCTACAACTGATGGAAAAATTCTCGTGAACGAAGTGATGATTTGTGAGTGGAAAACAGTCCTGAACGGTTTCAGGTGAGGAGGAGCACGAGCGGGATGATGGCGACGAGGGAGAAGGTGGCGAGGAATGAAGAGAGCTTGAGAAGCAAGTGGAGGGCGGGCGGTAGAAGCGAGACGAGGACGAGGGCGAGCACGAGGAGCAGCGAGAGGCGCTGGGAGGGAGGCATGGTAGCATTTAGGGCTTGTCCACGTGGCAAAAAGAGGAGGCGTGGTAACCGACTGGCAACAAGGCGAGAGGTTTAAGCGTGTTAGATCGAATGTCATGGAGCTTGCGAGCAACGTAATCAAGGACCGATTGGCGTCGCTGGGCATCTCCTTGGCACCCGTGGCCGCGGACAAGACGGCACCGGACGTGCTGCTGGTTGCCAGGAGAGCTGCCCACAGCTCTTGCCGCGATGTGGTGCGAGTACTGGCGCACTCGAGCGTGCTCAAGGAGTGTGACTCCTTCCGGGAATGGTTCATCGACTACGACGTGCGCATGGCGGAGGAGCGGCGGCGCAAGGCGCTTGTAGCGGACATGGTGCAGAGTGTGATGAGGAATGTGGAGGAGGAGGCGAAAGTGAGGCAGGCAATCTCCAGCATGCTGGAGGGCGTCATGACCAACGTGATTGAGCTCCACAAAGGCGACGAGGAGGAGGAAGCAGCGCACGGAGAGGAAGCGGCAGAGCGTAGGCCTGACATCGCGGCGGCGGCGCCAGAGGAGGAGGTGGAGATGCAGCGGTATATAGTCATAGAGAAGCTCGAGTGGACAGCCCCTGTCCTGCACGCCATTCTGGAATGGCTGTATACGCGCTGCTGCCACATCGATGTGGAGCATCTGTGGGCAGTGTACGAGGCGGCGGACAAGATGGTGCTGAGCAGCTTGAGCGGAGCCATCCGCGACTACAGCAGTCCGCATTACCTCCGGTACGCACTGGACAAGGAGGAGGATCGTAAGGCCCTCCTCAGGCTGTGCTTCAAGGCGCGGTGCGCGGAGCTTGGGAGCCTGCGAGTGCTGTGCGAGAGCCTGTCCCGCTCGCCCATCTCCTCCTCCTTCTGCATGCTCCTCCACACGGCAGCCATCTCGTACAGGCGGCCATCCTTTCTGCCCGAGGGCCTCTACACCATGTCGGGGCATCCCGTCTGCTGTCTCAAGGAGGCCGAGCCGCTGGAGCCTCTCAAGCCGTACATCACCCTCGTCCGGGAGTCGGGCTGCCGCTTCCGCAGGAGAAAGGTGGCGGCAGCGGCAGCGGCAGCGAGCGGAGGAGTGGCGTCGGCCAAGATGAAGGACGTGGAGTGGCGGATCATGGACCTGGGCAGCAATGCTGCTCGATGCTGCCACACCTTGTTCCGCTACTCGGCGGAGGTAAGCTTCGAGGCGGCCACAAAGGCTGGCATGCTGGTGAAGCCGGTGCGCAAGGAGACGTTTAGCCTGAGGATGGTGACGGGCTCCATGGTGAGCAGCATCATCAAGTGCGCGCTGGGCAAGGCCATCCCAGCCGCGGAGCTCAAGGTCAAGGAGGAGAGGGGATCGGGCTACTACATCCGCGGCCCCAGCTACTGCTTCTCGCTGCTGCTCCAGGGCGAGCCCTCCATGATCCTGGTGGGTGCCAAGGCCATCCCCCATGACATGATCGGCCGTGCGGCACTGCGGATCAGGAATCCCTCGGAGCGCACCTTTGCCAGATTCCTTCCCGCCATGAGGTCCTTCGGCGTCGACTTTGAGGCCAACACGCTCTACATCATCAAGCCGCTGCACAGCATCATCCGCATTCTCGAGTTTGTGGCGGGCGTCAGCCGCGAGGCCTTCACCCCGCTCGAGTTCGAGAGGCATGTGGTGGAAGTTGTCGAGGCCACGGATCCTTTTTAACCACAAAAGCAATACAAGTACACACCACCTTGCTTTGCTTAGAGCAGCCCCCGGCGGCGCTTGTAGTCGTTGACCGTGAGCGTGAGGCTGTGGCGCCGGCCGTCGTCGGCGTCGACGCGCACACCGTAGTGAGCTTCCATCTTCCGCTTCCGCTCCATGAAGGCCATGGCTGCTCCCTGCCCGCCTTTGAAGCGCTCCAGTGCGGCCAACGATATGGGCAAGTCGAAGTCGTGCAGGCTAAACATCTTGGAGAACTGGCGTCCCATCAGGCGGCCATTGCCAGCCTTGGTCAGCTCCTGCAAAAAGCCCGCCCCGTCTTTGCCCGCCTTATCACCCCCGATGGCTTCGCTGTGCTCCTCCGCTGCGGTCTTTGGAGCGTCCGACTTGTAGTAGTTTTGTGACCTTGTCCACCTCCGGGAGAAGGGATCGTAGCCCGCCTCGCCCATCTTGGCCGCTGGCTTGAGTTCCGACGCGTTTTTAAAGTTTTCAAACCTGTTCCTCCGGTTCATCATCTCGATACGTTCCGCCTTTTCATTCTTGGTTTGCTGCTTGGACGCCAGAGACTCGAGCTCCTTGAGCTTCTCGTGCAGCCGCTCTATCTGCTCCTGGTCTCCCTTGCCTTCAGCGACGCTCAGGTCCTTCATCACTCTTTCCTTTTCCAGCGCCAAGTTGGACGGCCTCGCCGATGCCATCTTCTTCTCCTGCAGCATCTGCTTCACTGCTGCAGCCGAGTAGACGAAGGAGGCGATCTTCTCCAGGGCCTCGGCCTTGTCCCTCACCGCCGACTTGCTGATGCCGGGAGAGTCCGACTTGGCCACCTCCGCCTTCCATGCATCGATCTCGTCGTCTGTAGGGGCCTGGTCGGATGCTCGAACCATCTGCCAGCGAGCCGCCGAGGAGTCGTCCCCCCACGTACAGTTGAGATACTTGTGCGTGGTGCGGTTTTCAAACTTGTAGGGCTTGTCCGGCTCCGTAGCATCCACATTCTTCACGAGGCACAGGCGGTACATGCTTGTGCCGCTGTTGGACATGCCGATGCCAATGCGCACGAAGCATCCCACGATCACCTCCTCAAAAAACGGCTCCATGAACCACTTTGACAGCTTGGACCTCCGGATGGTGATCTTCCTGATGTCCTCGTTGTCGGGCAGGCTCACTCGCCCCCCCCGCTCGTCGTCGTCGTCATCCGAAGGTACGTCGCTGCGGTTGGATTCTCCTCGGCTGCTCTCCTCGTCGTCGTCGTCTTCGGAATCAGCATCAGAATTGGAGCTGGGGCTGGCGCTACGGCGGGGCGGAGGAGCAGCCGCACCACCTGCAACATTCTCCCGTCTCTTCCTCTGCTGGTGCTGGTGCTGGTGCTGATGCTGCTGCTGCTGCTGTAGCTGGCTCGCATCCTGCGACCTCTGCCTCTTGGCCACCAGCTCGCTCAGAGCGTTGGTCTTGGAGGTTTTGGTGGTTTCCCTGCCCGAGGACCTCATCCGGGACGAGGGTGGCCCGTCCCTCTTCCGCTCCTCCTCTGCAATGCGCGCCTCGGTCGACTTCTTGAGGCTATAGTTGTCTCGCTTCTCCGACCTCTCGTGCAGGATCATCTCCCTCTCCAGCTCCGTCATCGCCTCCAGCTTCCGCTTGTCCTCGTCGTCCTTGTACAGATCACTCCCAAACGACAGGTCGCTCCCAGAGCCCTCGTCCCTGTCCCCGCCATCAAACCTCTTCTTGAGTGGCATCTTGGAGCCGCCCTTGCCCTTTTTGTCGTAGTCGTCTTCATCCTCCTCCTCGTCCTCGTCAGAGCTGGAGCTGGAGCCTCTCCTGGAGCTCCTCTTACCATCTCTCTTGCTGGCGGCGCCGCTGCTAGCGTTCGTGTTGCTGCCGCTCTTGCGACCAGCAGCGGCCAGGAGCATGTGCTCCAGATCGAGGGCGTCGTCCGCCATGGCCACTCCTCTGACCTAATACTAAGATGAGCTCAAAAGAGCTCACTCGTTAGGGTTTTAGAGGAGCGTGCGAGTTCTAGGCGGCGTATGGCGTCGGGGGAGGGCCATAGCGAGGGAGCGGAGGGGCACGGGGCGCCGGGCCAGGGCCCGGGCAGTGCCAACAAGGCGGAGGAGGAGGAGGAGGGGGAGGAGGGTGACGATGTGATCGATGTCTCTCCCTCAGGCTGCTGCGCCTCGTCGCTGGCGTGCGTCCCAGCTGCAAAGTCCCAGCGGGCCAAGCAAATGTACGTGTTTGACAACGTTTTCACCCTTTTGCCACGCTCTCTTCTGCAATTCACGAGCCTCCGGGTCCTCAAGGTCTTCTCCAACGCCGCGCGCTACTTCCCCGACCTTGACGACGACTGCTTCCCCCAGTTGGAGCAGCTCCAGGTGAGGGCATCTCCACTGGGACTGTCCAGCCTTTTGCCGCTTGGGAAAATGCCCGCTCTCAAGACGCTCGAGCTCCACCAGCTTCCGCTCCGCCCCTCTGCGTCCTTTCTACCAGCCGAGATTGCCAACCTCCAGGAGCTCCGACGGCTTTCGGTCTGTCACTTCTCAATCTCGTAAGTCACTCCTCCTTCTCTGTTTCGCATCCAAACTCTCGCTTTTCAGGTATCTACCACCAGAAATTGGATCCCTTCACAGCCTCCAGGAGCTGGACTTGTCGTTTAACAAGCTCAAGCTCTTACCCAAGGAAATATCCGGATTGACATCACTTAAATCGCTCAAGCTCTCAAACAACAAGCTGGGGGAGCTCCCTTCGTCTATTAGTACAATGCTTTCACTGGCCACCCTTGATGTTGGCCATAATAGACTAACTTCGCTCCTCACACTGGATCTGCAAGCTATGACTTCCTTGCAAGAACTAAATGCTCAAGTAGGCTCTAGCGGTACTTCAAGCTTCCTACTTTGGTTCGTTTCTCATCTATCTCTTCTCCTCTTGTGCAGTTTAATAAGTTGCAAGCGACTGGAGAGATTCCAACATGGCTCAGGTGCAACTTTGAGGGTAACGAGTGGCTGCAATTTTATTCGGAGAGAAAAAAGGCTAAAGGTAATTTACTGTCTACTTTATTTTTGAAAGGAACGTAACTTGATGGATGGAACAGGATCTAGGAACTCCGGCAATCGGTCAAAGCTGGGAGTTGAAAGCAGGCGGTGCAAGACATTGGGGTCTGCGATACCTGAGGAAATGGTGCTCCTGGATTCTGGAAACTACCGGACTGTTGACAAGAGAGGAAGCGCAAACGAGCTTGGGGAAAGTACAGATTTGCCGCTACAAAGCAAGCAACTAACAGTGACAGAGAAGGCTGGCACTCATGCAGGTTCGACTCACAAGAGGCTTGGGCATTGTCCTGTTGAAGGTAATCCAAAGCCTAGCAAGCGTCGGAAGGCAGCTGAGAAGTTCTCTGAGGTGTCATACAAGTACAGCAAAGATTCCTTCTGTGGTTTCGATGACCATCTTGTGGATGGTTTTTACGACGCGGGCAGGGACCATCCTTTTCTTCCGCTGGAAGCCTTGGAAAATGAGCAGTTCAGTTTCAACAGGCGCGAGGTTATACTGGTCGACAGGTAGGCACGCGTTCTAAAGCTGCAAATTACAAGCTGCTGCTCTGGGTACCTGCAGAACCAAAGACGAGGATTTGGACGCGATGGCTTCATCCGCTAAACAACTGCTTGTTAGTCTTGGACCTGGCGGGGCAACATTTGAGCATGGTTCGAGTGACTTGTACAACGTTGCAATGCTGGCCTTGTTCGTGTCAGATTGTTTGGGTGGGAGCGACAAGACGTTGAATGTTAAAATCATGCGGCGCACTGCACTTGGTTCTACGTCAAGTATGCCCTTCGTGTGTTCGTGCTGCGCAACAGGGCCAAGCGACAGTGGTGCCTCTTTTTCCGGTGCGCTTCCAAGCATGCGTACACTCAGTGACGAAGCAATAAGACATGTCAAGCTTAAGAGGAACTCCAACGTAGTACCTTTGGGATCATTGCCTTATGGCGTTTGTCGGCACCGGGCAATACTCATGAAGGTATGTTCTAAGCATTGTGTGCTTTATTCACGTCTTGTTTTGCAGTATCTTTGCGATCGATCGAGTCCCGTTATTCCTTGTGAGCTAGTGCGGGGATATTTGGATTATATGCCGCATGCTTGGAACGTTGTTCTTGTTTGTAGGGGTGGTGTTAACGTCAGGATGCTTGTCGACGCGTGTCGTCCTCTTGATATCAGGCTTGAAAGCGATCCAGAGTATTTCTGCCGGTTCGTTTCGAGGTTTTCCATTTTCGTTTTGTTTAAACAAAGTTTTTATTTCCTCTCTAGGTACATTCCAACCCGGCGGATACATGTGCAGCCTAGGGTGGTGGAGCTAGGCAGCGGGACGTTTTTGCCTCTGTTTTACGAGGAGATTGGTTTTGGTGCTTCCGGTGCAGAGGTTAGGAAATGCAGCGTTGGAGGTCATACGGCAGCTGCAAAGGTAAAACGTGCATGGAGATTTGGTTTTTTTTTTTTTTTTTTGTTTTCTTTTTTCTCAGTACAAGCTTCTACCAGATCCGGCAGCTGGATTCTGCGGTTGTCAAAGAATCATCGGATGGTGGGTGGCTCAGTGAGTTGCGCATACACTGTAGCATCGGAGAGCATCCCAATGTTGTCGCGTTCTATGGTCATCAGCTATCGTTTGAATCCGCTGCGTCGAATGGCGCAAACAAAAAGCTGGACGCTCCCCAGCTGGTTATATTTATGGAGTATGTCAAGGGCGGGTCGCTAGACGTGAGTTGCTGGTTGCAAAATTTCCTGGTTTGCCGTACTAATTTGTTTTTGCAGAATGTTATCACTCGCTTCTCAAAAGATGGCTGCCTCTATACACCGCCCCGATTAGCAATAAATATTGCTGAAAGTGTAGCTCAAGGTCTGGTTTGGCTTCACTCAAGGGGGATCATCCACCGTGACATCAAAAGCAGTAACATACTGGTAGATTTGGATTCTCCTGACAATAGACCGGTAGTCAAGATTTGTGACTTTGATAGTGCCGTTCCTGTGGGTTCCTCGTCTATCCACACCTGTTACTTGGCACATCATGGTCTACCCCTTACTGATGTCTGCGTAGGCACTCCTCGATGGATTGCTCCAGAAGTGCTGGGTGCTATGTATACTCGTCAGCAGTACGGGCTGGTAAGCATCCTCTTTCCAAACAATCGTAACAGACATCATTCATGTCTGTGTGTCTACAGGAAGCAGATATGTGGTCTTTCGGCTGTTTCATCTCAGAATTGTTGACACTAAACGTTCCTTATGCGGGAATCGGGGACAATGAAATTCACAATCACATCAAAGTAAGTGTAGTAGTGACGATATTGTCGTCTCCTTCTCATGCTTTGGTGGGGCAGGCTGGAGAGAGGCCCTCGTTAACGTGGAAGCTTGATGAGATTGTCCTTGAGCCAGCCGTTGGCGGCGACAAAGATTGCCTAGATGCTTTGATACGTCTGTATGAGTCATGCACAGAGCTTGATCCTGGCAAACGGCCAACTGCACAAGAAGCTTTGTCGTCTTTACAGAAGCTGGTGGAATGAGGAAGATTCATCATCCGACCCCAAAAGGTATGCTTTGAGCTGCACTGGTATTGATCATATTCATGTTTTTTAGCAGGCATTTCTTGTGTCTTGCGAAAGGGAATATCGCACAGATTGTTATATACATTTGGAGGGTCAGTTTCTTTGCGTCTATATTTTATATTTTATACAACTTTCTCATTTTGTTTAATTACAACAGCTATCAACAATTGAAGTTGAAGCAAAGCAGGCATCAATGAAGATGGAAAGGCAATCAACCGATGCCTTTGATTCGCGAGCTGCCTTTGCTGCAAGGGATACCCCGTTGGATCCGATTTATGGGTCTATAAAAGTTAGCTCTTTCATAAGACGTGAGAAGACAAGCCATGGAGGGAGGCGGCAGTAAGGTGGCCAAGTTTGCTCCCCGGGTGGATATGATGGGAATGAGCTTGCAATCGTCAACAGCCAACAGGGCGGTAGTAGATGTCCTCTTTGCGATCTTGAATCCTCACCCGGTGGAACTTAAGCTGGTGGAAGTTGAGTTTGCGTTTGAGAAGGAAGACGACAGTGAAGTTGCGCTTGTGAAGCTGGTCCAGTATCCCAGTACAATTCAAGCGTGCTCCTCGACGCTGATGATGGTGCCAGTGGAGTTGAAGCAGGCAGATGTCAGTCACGTTGCATCGCACACAATGAAGGCTCAACTCAATTTTAGGCCGAACAGCATCAGCGATTTTTTCACGGTGAGTGTGGGTAAGGTGAAGGACTTTTTCAAGGTGCTGCAACCAGAAGGTGGACGGGCTTCCGGGTACGTCAACGGGGTGCACATTTCGTCCCTTTCTCCCGAGGAAGTCAAATTCAGCATCATTCTGCGAGTCTCCAACGGCAACACCATCCCAGTGGAGCTTGAAAGAGCGGAATTCGCTCTGGAGGAGGAGAGCAAGGTCAAGGTGGCTGATAAGGTGGTGCGCGCACTCCAGACCATCAATCCCAAGAGCCAGAAGCGAATCGAGATCGGCCTGACGGTCGGGAAGGAGGAAATGAAAGCGGCTTCTCTTCCAGCTCCAGGCAACATGCTGAGCCTGAAGCTTAGGATGGACTTTTGGTTCAAGGATTCCTCTCACGGCGAGTACAAGATCTCTCAGGACAAATCCGTCTCTTTCCCAGTGCTGGCTCCCGCAGCAGCCCAGGTGAAGGAGGTGGTGTTTGAGCACGATGCTTCTGGCGTCCCCGTTGCCAGGATGCAGCTGCAACTCAAAGTCGTCCCCATCAAGCTTAACGCCATACCTCTCCTCGACTACACGATACGCCACACCGCTTCTATGAAAGAGCCCGTGGCCAAACTCGCGAGCTGGTCGCTCCTTGGGCACGGTGACGCGACGACACTGGAAGAGGAGATGGCGGTGGAAGCTGTGTTGCAGCCCCTGGACGATTCAGCATTTGGCTCGGCACTGTGGGAGGTGTTTTGCGACAGAAGCACCAACTACACGTCCACCGTGACCATCGAGGGGAATTCCCTTGAGTATGGTACAGTTCGCATGTAGCTAGCACCTCTCCATTCTCGTTGAATAACAAGAAAATATTTCGTTCATGGTAACCTGGGAACCTTGGAAAAATTGGGCTGCCTGCCCTCCAGATAAGACTTCCTCCCTTCCTCGCCCTCTTCAGAGCCGTAGAACAGAAGCGTCGCGTTTCCAGCCAGCTCCTGCACATGCATCACGCATGCACTCGAGTGATCCAGCAACCAAGAAAATCGCGGAAAATCACACCTGAAGGCCAGCATGCCCGTCTTCCACGGCGTTGAGCGCAGACTTGAGAACCCGGATGGCAGTGGGGCTATTCTTGAGCATTTGACGGCACCACTTGATTGTCTCCATCTCCAGCTCCGCGACCTTTTAAAAAGAAATGTATATAGCATGACCGCGGCGATTGCTCGACCGACTTACAGGCACCACCGCGTTGACAAGACCCATCTCCAGGGCTTGCTGCGCATCGTAAAATCTCGCAAGGAACCACATCTCTCTCGCTCGCTTCTGCCCAACCTGCAAAGTAGCAATTGTAGCACCACTGGCATGGACGCACAGACTTACCAACCGGGCCATGATGCTACAGCCATAGCCAGCGTCAAAACTGCCCACCTTGGGCCCAGTCTGCCCAAACATGGCATTGTCCGCAGCGATAGTTATGTCGCACACCATGTGGAGGACGTGACCTCCACCAACTGCGTAGCCAGCAACCTGCTCTAGAGATGATGAAGCATGCTTCCATCCAAACCAAAGAAACGAAATCGACTGCTCACCATTGCGACGACGGGCTTAGGGAGCCTCCGAATTTGCATCTGTGAACACAGGTCATGACTCTCAACTGGAGATGTAACAGCTTGTTGCTTGCCTGCAAGTCCAAAACGTTGAGACGCGCAATGTTGTCTTGACCGACATAGCCATGCTTTCCACGCACTGATTGATCACCTCCACTGCAGAATGCATCGGTCCCCTGCAAGAGACATACGTAGAGCTAAGTATAAGGGGAAAGCTACTACCTGGCCTGTTAGTATCACCACTCCCACGTCCTTGTCGTCTCGAGCGGCAGACAATGCACGCTGCATCTCGGTGACTGTTCGAGGAGTGAAGGCATTCCTCTTGTGCGCTCTGTTGATGGTGATCTGAGCCAACAGTTGAAGAAAGGATGAGCACAACTAGTACTCCCAAGCCACTCCCAAGCCACTCCCAAGCTTACTTTTGCTATTCCTTCTCCAAGAGCCTTGTGGTATAGCACCTCCTCTAGCTCTGGGCCGTCGCCTACCCAGGACTTGAGCCACACTACCCTCTCGCAAGAGATATCCCCGTGACGGCGTTCATAGCTACTTTGGCTTCGTCTGCAAACCACAGCTTCCAGCCTGCAACTTGAATCCTCGGTCAAGGGTGGTACCAGATGAGAAGAAAGGCGAGCGAGGCGACAGCGTGACTTGTCCGCCATAGCCAACTTACTGGACGTTATCCACACCAATCACTAAAAGCTTGCATTACCTATGTTTCGTGATCATCGTTATTGTCAATACCGCCTGGCACTATTCTATACCAGATGCGCAGAAATACCGCGAGCATGCCTTCAATCGCGTCACAGATCGTATCGGTGATTAACGTGACTATATATGTGATCACCGTGACGATGAAATTCCAAAACGAGCCCGGCCAGTAGTATGGATGGAGCAAGCGAAAGAGCAAACTGATGACAAGCCTCGGCTGCCTGCCCACCTGTATACCCTCCAGCCTATCAGAAACTCGCGTTGCTCGTGCAAAACCTTCAAGCCACTCACCGGGAACAGGCAGTCTAGTGTATCCCAGGCAGCGTGCCTCACGGGTCTTGTGGGATACATCGGCCCACCGGGTGAAGTAAAACTGAAGAGCGCTGTTTTAAGACGTGTACTTGTTGTCACTCTAAGCTCCTTCCCTATCAGACGCGGCGACATTGTCAGGACAAGAAGAAAGCAGCACGGGTCCACACACCTTTGAGTGCCTTTGCGCTCCACAGGTAGTGAAGTAGCACCGGTTCAACCTTCACCTTCTGCAGCTGAGGAAAAACGAAAACGTAGCATACAGCTCCAGTAAGCATGGAAAGACGAGAATACCTGGTCCGTCAGCTCTATGACAAACACGTCGGCCGCCGCTCCATTGTACCCAGGCACAAGAGGAAACCTGCTTAAAAAATCATCCAGTCCATCGGCTGCAACTTACACACACGTTTACTAGGTGCATGGAGTGAGAGCGAAACAGATCCACCTGGCTCGTAGAAGAAGAAAAACCTTGCCAAAAGTAACGCGAGCTCCCTTCGACTCTAAGTGAATGCAGGCAAACTAATATAAGCACTGAATTCACGCCAGCCATACTTGCTTACTTGTAGGGGAAACTTATTGAGTTGGTCAGACGACAGAGCTGCCTCCATTGTGTACTGCAAAAGGCAGGAAGAAGAAGAAGGAAAAAAAAAAAAAACAATAGAGATCTGGCACTTATACAAAGAAATCTGGTTACGTGATAGAGAGAATGAAATCGTGTCACGTTGCCCAATAGATCAATCCTGCCATGCAGGGCATGAGAGAGAACGTGAGCAAAACAACGCAAAACGTACCAGAAGATGTTGCTGGCACCCTCGATGAATGCGGTGGTGTAGCGGAGCAAACCATCCGAGGCATCCGTTGGAATCTCGAATAGCTTGGAGCAGGCGAGTCACAATCGTCAGCAATCTGTCTAGGCGCAAAATTCATACCCATTGGTAGAAGACGAGCGCAAAGATTTGCGATGCGAACGACTGGGTCCACAGCTGTACAAACAAGGGAAGGAGGGGCTTGGCATCCTCGGGGATTTGCGCGTAGTGCTCCGCGAGGACTTCATAAAAGCACTTCCTGCCCACGAACAGGTGCTCAGCATCTTGGCCATACAAGAGTTCTGTCCAATCCAAAAGAATCCAAGAGCCTGGCTGCGTAAACTAGAAGCGCGAACTCACTACCTTTTGCACGATCGTCCACTTCGAGAGCTACATCAGTGAAGAGCTGCCTGAGACAATCTCCGCGCTGGGACGGCAAGCTGATCGCCTGGATAGAGAGTGAGGAGCTCCTGCCGACAGTGAGCCCTGAGTTACCTTGTGCAGCTTGCGGAGGAGCTGCTGCGTGAGAGCCGTCCGGTAGGCCGACTTGGGGAGGGGGCGGTGGCGGTCCGACATGACATCTCTCTCCGCCGTCCTTGCCCTACACACCTATATGTGTTGTGTTTGAGTGATCCTCGCAAAGTCATTAAAAAGCCATGCATGATATGTACAGAGAGTGAGTATCATCATCTCTAGCCGATCAAAAACCAATATCAGTGTTTGATATTGAGAGGGGGGGACACAATCTTGAGAGCTGGATTGGATCGCTCCTCAGTCGTCTTCGGAATCTGTGGAACCCAATGTGTAAACGGACCTGAAAGAGGAGAGGAGAGAGGTGTTTGATTACCTACCTGATCTTACATCGTCCCCCACGGTGCCGTTGTTCTGGAGCTGCCTCAACACCATCCGGCAGATGAGCACCCACCAGTAGACGTGGAGCACCAGCAGCGACATGAGCATGGTGTTGAAGACATAGTAGATCTTGACCGTCTTGACGTTCCGGAAGTCGAGGAACTCCATGCAGTGGTAGCTGCGAGAGTGCGAGTCAGGAATGGCAACCGCAGGGAGCGTGCGTACCTGGTGCTCCAGATTATCCAAAACGGGAAGTAGATGAGTCTGAGGAGGAGCCACGAGAGCGCAAACAAGGCAAACGCAATGCTGGCCCCGACATCGCTGCCCGAGTACTTGAGCAGCTTGGCGGACTCGAGCAACACGTCGCTGGCATCGTGAAGGGCCAGCACCAGCGAGCCCGCCCGGAAGCAGCTGGAAGATGACACCATAGTTTACACACATTGTGAGAGACCTATCATGCACGTACCCGGTGATGAAGGAGCCGGCGATCAAGACGATGGTAATGACATGGTGCGTCATCATAACGCTGAAGTCCTTCCTCCGCGTCTCCCACACGAGGAGCGCGGCAACGCTGTACACATAGAAGCCACCTTGGAACGTGTAGAGGAGCTTGAGCTCGTGCCTGCGGCAAAACGGGGACGATGGATGGATTTTCATCCAAAAGAAACGAAAAGAAGATTGCCTGGGCACTCACGTCATGGTGTGGCCGGGCCATCGCTCCCAATAGCCGTGGCTGCTGGCAAACCACGGCTCCCTCGCCGTCGCATACAGCGCAAATGCCTCCGACGCCGTGTAGTATGTTAGCTTCCACATGGACTCGGTGGCCTTGAGCAGCTTTTTCTTCCGGTCCTTCACCTTCCTCGGGTAAATGAAGCACGCCGCCAGCCTCTGCGGTGGAGATCATGGATCAAGGCAGGCAGATATATGAGATCAGATCTACACGCGCGCACGCACGCACGCACCTGGTAAACCAAGGCATCCAAAAGCCAGCGTCCCAGCGGGAAGGCCAGCGCAAAGTAGAGGGCCAGGTAGTAGTCACTCCACTCGGGATAGCTCTCTCCTGCGCCGCCTCCTACCATTACCATTGCGGCCTTGCTCCCCGCCTCGCCGGACATAGCGACATTACCTATCCATCCACGCGCGCACCCGATCTCGCCCTCGCCCCACGCCTAGACCCAATCTCCACCTCCGCATCGCGGCTAAGTGGCCGAGCCGACCCATGGACATGGGAAAAGGGAATATGCCCAGGCTTAAATTATAAACATGTGAAAAATATATATATATATCTATATATATAGAGCACACTTTGCTCACCAAGCCCAAACAACCCAAAACCTCCCTACCTCACGTCCTCAAGTCATCGGACATTGCCGATGGGATGCAATGCATGCTGAGTATCTCCGGTGTTGCACTCTTGGCAACCTGAGCATCCAGCACAATCATCTGCAACACCAACACTGTGTCATGTCATGGCTTGAGCTCGCAACATCACCTGTTGGTACTCGAGGTCGAAGCGCATGAAGCCGTCGTTGCAGTTGTCCACCATGTGAGCCAAGTGCTTCAAGTTCCGCACCGCAGTGCCATTGAACGCTATTATCTGCCGCGCAACAGTGTTAGGCGCCTCCTTGTACACGCTACCGGCACTGACAGCTTCGGCGTACCTGCGTGTTGACAATGTCTTCGTACCCAATGTTCGCATCCGCTGCAAGGACCTGGAAACTCATCCCTGTCAACTCAATTCGACTTCGCCGCTTCTCACCTGAGAGATGACAACTAGCTGCTCGTCTTCAGTCTGTGCAAAGTTGTGCATGAGCTTATCCAGTAACTTCACCGGAGCATCGTAGTCATAGTCCTTGCCATACTGCCAACACAGCTGCTTCCACTCAGTGTCTTCAATGGGAAGAAAAAGGCTGTCTCGGAATCAAGTGCTACGCAGGTCCTTCTTACCTCTGATCGTAGATAGGGAACCGAGACAGCGGCAAAAACAATCCCGGCAACAATGTAGTAGGATGGGGGCCTTCCTTTGTTGTGTGCAGGGACCAGGCGTTTTGGAATCGTTACCTCGACAGCGTTTTCAATTATCTGTCCACTGCGAAGAACTCTCACCCGAGCACGTTGCCCAGTATACTTTTGCGAGACCAGGTATGTAAAACCAATCCGCTCTCCACTTCTGAAAGGAACTGTAAAAAACTGTCTTCAGTCGGAGAAAGAAGAGAAAACAGAAAAGTATAGAGGTACGTACCAGTTCCATCGTTGGCAATGTCGACTCCATCAAAACTCAAGAGAATATCCGACGAGCGTAGGTGTCTGGCTGCCGGAGCCGTTGGTTCCACTCGGCGTATACGAACACCCTTTTGGTTTGCCTTCATTCCGACCGCTCTCCGAAGATCCGGATTTTCCATCCTTTGCCATTCAATACCCAACACGGGAAAACCTTCAGAGGCAGAGCAGAAGTTATATGCTAGCAAAGCAGAAGTTATATGCTAGCAAAGCAGAAGCCTTGACGAGGAGAGATACCTGTGTAATGCCCGTGGCGTTCGTAGTCCATAATAAAATGACTAATGACAGGCGTCGGGATGACATATCCAATGTTCTCGCAGTCTTCGTGCTTGAGAGACTGGAACGCAATCCCAATGCACTGTCCCCTGTCGTTGAAGGAGGGACCACCCGAGTTTCCAGCGTTGATGGCTGCATCTATCTGTACGTACCAAAGCATGAGGGCACGTACCAAATATTACAGGGATCGGGTCGCTTACTTGCACGCCCAGCAGTTCGCTAGCGCCATGGACGTAGGACGTGATCTCAATGCGCGACACAACACCACTGGTGACCGAGATTGTGTCGCCGCCGATGGGATAACCGACAACAGTGATGGGGTCCTGCAACCTGGGCAAAGCGCCAAACTCCACAGGAGTCACTCCCCTCCAAAACGAGTCATCGTTGATGGTTAACATGGCTGCAAAGCAGAAAGCGTTTGTTTTGTTGTTCCTGGCGGAAAAACGACTCTTTTGCTGGCTTCCGTTATCCTCGGTGGTCGAAGAAGCAAGTAGCGCCTAGGACTGAACCTTTTGAGCTGACGAGTGCTCACCTATGTCGCATTCGGTTCCAATGGCAAGGACAGCCGCAACAAACTTGATATCCGAGCCCCGCCTCTTCACCTTCACCTGCGTGTGGTGCTCGACGGAGTGTGCATTGGTGAGAACTCGGTTGCCACCGATTATGAAGCCACTGCTGTTGGTGCTGAACTGCCGCTTTCGTTGCCAGGGAAGCGAAAAGTTTGGCTCCGTATGAATACAAAACACCTTGACGACCGCGTCCAAGAAAGGCAAGTCGTCCACCTCCTCGGCACCAAACTCGGCGTCGTCCAGCACCACGGCAGGAATGGGCGCCTTGGAGGAGGGCTGCGAGCTGGCCTTGGCTCTGGTTGGCTTGGGAACGCCGGCACCGCTCTTGCTGGACGACGACACCTTGCCTTGCTTTCTCTCCGTCAACAGCTTGCCCGAGCTGCTAGCCTCGCCGCCAGCCTGCTTGGGTCTGATTCCATTACCGGCACAGTCTAGAGCCCGCTGCCACTGCCTCTTGCTCCGCTCCGTCGTGGCCATGGGCAGCACCGTATGAAGCACGTCCGTGACGTCACCCTCCTCGCCGTGCAAGGGGCACGTCTCGAGGTGGCCTGCCGTCACCCTGGAGCTGGAGCTGGAGCTGGAGCTGGGCATCTCTCTCCTCCTCCTCTTCCTTTGCGTGCCACTGGCAATAGCTTCTCCGCCAAATACTGGGATGGCGGGCCTTGGCACGTGCCTCCCGCAACCATTTACCTTGAACCTGGTTGCGGGCTGCCTTGGCGTCGCCCAGCCCCCGAGCTCCAACCACGCTTGGCTCCGCTTCCGCCGCCTGCTGCTACCCGCCATGGCCGAGCGCACGCATTTGCATCCTCAGCCCAGCCTCCACTCGTGCTGCGCGATCTACGACTGCGAACCAGGTCCATGCCCCCGCCGCGCGACGAAGAAACTCATGTGGCGCATCAGCCTCCCAGCTGCGCAGGCAGCGGCCACAGTGCCCACATCCGGCTTGCCCTAGAATTGGATGTGTCCGCTCGGCGTGAAGGGACAAACGGCCATACGGCGCCCGCCACGTGTCCCGGGCGGAATATTCGCGGGAAAAGGGGGCAGATTAGGGCTCTAGTTCTCGGGAGCTGGCAGCGATGTCGAAGAAGAAGGCGATGCCCCGCTCCACCATGTCCCTCAAGGTCTTCCACGGGGGCTCCATTCCATCGGATCTGCAACTCCCGTCGGCGCCTGGCATGTAAGTCGATCTGGTCCGTGTCGTTAGAGGAGCTGCTGACTGGCCCCATGGATTTCCAGGACGGTGGATCGGAGCGCGTACGAGCGGCCGAGCTCCGCGAATGTATGGTCGTCCGCCAGCAATCCAATGAGCAAGGGTTATGGCAACCATCGGCAGGCGCTCCTGCCCAATGGGGAGACGAGGCCCTCCTCCGCCGCCGCCGCCCCTTCCTCCTCGTATTTCCCCAACACCGCCACAATGGGCAGGAACTACGACGAGGACGAGCGGAGGCCCGTCGACTTTCGGCCCCGCACCAGCCCCGGCGGCCACCACGACTACAGATCTCGGGAGTATGACAACGGTGGTGGAGTCTACTTCAAGGGCCGCTTGTCTCGCTCTCCGGACCATCTGCGCTACTCGGCCTATCCCCCCGGTGGTGGTGACCGCTTCGGCCCTCCTCTGCAGCCTTCTATGGCCGGCTCACCGGAGCGGCCACCCGTGAATGCCTGGGCCGCGCGCCGGGGTGAGCGCCTGGAGCCGGATGCGTCTGCCACCTCTCCCTGGCGCGTCCGAAACAGCATGGCCAGGATCGCCGAGGCAAGTGCCATCGACAAGGTCTCCTCTGGAAGGTGGCAGCCAGCAGCTACGCCCAGGAAGGAGCCCCTTTACGATGTCGATGCTCGCAAGGTGGACATCTCCCACGCGATAGAGCAGCAGGAAGTGGAGGATGGCAGAAGGGTGGATAGTTATCATCACACCTCTTGGAAGCAGCAGCCAGCTGAGGCTACTCCCGAAGGAGGCTACCGCAGCCGTTTTAACGATGCCGGTGATACGTCGGAAAGAGCAAGGTTTGAGTACGACCACTTTGAGCGAGGCGATTCTTTCCGGGGAGTGAATGAACAGAGCTACCACAGCTTTCAGGAGGACAGGGTCGCTGGTCACGGGAGTACTTCTGCTTATGATTGTTTAGAGGTTCATTATACTCAGGGTGATGATGGACGACACAGCGCAGATGCACAAGCAAGCCAAAAGCAACAGCATCTCTCTGACTCCAGACACGGTCCTGGAGCCCGTCAACATCCTGCCAACGTCTTTGAGCGTCAGTCCACTGATAGCAACGTTGTAAATCACGAAAGACTGCAAAGGCAACGATCGTTTGATTCGGAAAGGAACAGAACCTCGGCTACTGCAGTCAACCACGAGTTCAATCATCAATCCTCTGCCCATGTGTCTACCATGGTTGGCAGCACGTATTCTGATTCCACGAAGACTGGAGCTGCTTTGCTGCGGTCCACTTCTGGAGAACGGCCCAAGCTAAAGCTCCTTCCTAGATCCAAGCCAATGGAAGATCGTCATGATTTTTTTGAAGACGAGGGTACCTTCTTGTCCGAGGTAAGAATCTATCCATTCGTCGCCATGTTTGTGATTCTCAGCTGCGACACAGGCGGATCGCGCTGGGCGTCAGCAGCACGCAAGTGAAAGGGAGACCCATGATTCGAGACCAGTCGTTACACCCAGTGCCCAAACAGAACACGACACTTGCCCAACTTCGGAGAGGCCTAAGCTGAGCTTGAAGCCCCGAACTCAGGCTCCTGACAACGCTTCGGACAAGGAGAGGTACGTGGAGGATGCTGCTACACTACCGTGGAATTCATGTGTTTTCTGGATACAGGCGAAGTTTGTTCGGTGGTGCGCGCCCCAGAGAGATGGTAAGCTCAATTCTACCCATGGTTCGAGCTCTGTATTTACTTTTATGTTCTTTGTAGGTGCTTCGACAGCGTGGAGCAGACGACATTCCAGTCGAAGCCGCTGCAAGGTATCCATATTCCTGTTTCCATGCCACAGAGCTGACATGAAGGCTTGCAGTGATGTTGCTGAGCTCATTCGGAAGGAAAGGTGGCAGCCGGTCGAAACTCGGCAGCAGCAGGGTAGGACCAATAACGAAGGTGGCAAGGTAGTCAACCGGAGGGAAGAGGATCCAATACGGAGTGAAGCAGACCGGTACGAGATTCGGCGTGATTTGAGTCGGCAGGATCGCAGGGATCACCGGGATATTGACAGGCAGGAGAGTTGGAGGCGACGTGCGGAACCCACTCCCGCACTCTCTGCGCTTGCAGAGATGCCGTCGCGCGTTGCTGGGAAGTCGTCGCTTGGATCGTCAGCGCTGCAGCTTGCGCAAGCCTTTTCGCGGTCAACCATCTCCGCCGCTGGTTCTCGACTGACGGATACTCCATCTCCCAGATATGGCAGAGCTTCTTCTGGACAGCAGCAGCGCAAGCACAGTGCCGCGACTGCATGGTAGTAAGGCACGCCAAGTGAGGCGGGACTAACGCATCAGGCGTGCTTGGCTGTAGCTATCTACAGAAACACAAGAAGAAACATATATCCTCTTTTGCTTCTCCTTGTATGTACAACGAGACGGCGGGTGTTGGTTGTTTTGTTAGTACCGCTCTTCTCTTTCTTGTTTGGCTTGTTGGTTCATGTTTTGAGACGCTTGGCAGCTTGAAGGAAGCCCGTTATCACGTCCAGTTCATCCAGTTGCTGCAGCAAAGGGGAATTCGTGTGAGAAGAAGCGAGGAGAGAGCGTTTACTTACATATGCAACAAAGTGCTTCTCGATGGCGCGCAACAGCTGCTCCTTGGAGGAATTACGGCCTACATCGCTCTGAGACCACCGAGAGGCAAGATGAGAAGAGATCTGAGCGAGTGCCACTTACAAGCTTGAAGTGCTTCCTGTACTTGCGGAGGGCCGCCGTCTCCAGCTTGCTCAGGTCCACAACCTGTATATCCACGGAGAGATGGGTCAATGAAATGAAAACCACCGCTCGCTCACCGGGATTTCGGCCGACGGCATCGCTTCTGCTACCCTCTTGTCCACACAGAGCTGCGGCTGCGGCTGCGGCTGCGGCTGCTGCTGCTGCGTCGTCAAATCTAGCTGGTGAGGAGGCGATGGCGCTGCCGCTGGTGGCGGTGGTGGTGGCGGCGGAGGCGGCGGAGGCGATGGTGATGCAGTAATGCTAGGGGTCGTGGCGGTGGCACCAGTGTCTGCTTTGGCTGGCTTTTGCCTCACGCGGGGCTTAAATGTCCTAGGGAAATCGTCTGCGAGGGAGCAAAGCTAAGAGTGCGCAAGGAGATGAGGGCACCCACCTAGCACCGTGTCGCTGGTCACAGGGATCTCAATCTCATCGTCCTCCTCCTGCCCTGTGGGTGGCTCGATCACCGTCAACGCGTTCCTCTGGAGCTTCACCTCCACCCCGTTGGTCAGCACCTGGCACAAGCAAGCACTCAAAGGATTACTCTAACCTAAACCACTGTTATAAAGGAGAGCGTGAGCTCTCCCCCGGCCGGGCACACCGGATTCATTACGTACCAGCCAATGCCAGCCTCCAAGTCCCACGGCCTTCTTGACAACGCCCTCCAGCCCCACAAGAACCGACTTTGTGCGATTGTTACCTCGCACCACAACCTTGGTGTGCCTGGGAAGAACAGACAGCTCCTCGTCCTCGTCGCCGCCAGTCTCGCCGCCCGGCGGGGGAAAATACGTTGGGGGAGGCAGAAACCCCTGATGCTCGTGATCATGGTGATGGCCGTGCTCCGCGGGGCTAGTCAGGCTGCGCTCGCCCTCCAGCATAATCGACCGATCGAATTAGCGATCACTGCTACAGTTTGTAGATTGTGATCTTGATCCTGTGATCTTGATCCCTGCTTCCCTGACCAATTCCTCGAGGCCTCTATGATTCGGTCCAGCTCCCCACCTATCTATCCATAGCTTCCCCTTCCCGTGGAATGGGAGGGACTCTATGCTCTATCTTTGATGCCAAACCAAGAAGAAGAAGAAGAAGAGGAAGAAGAATTCGCCGCCCTCGATAGCCTCCAATCCTAGCCAATTCCAGCCAATGCGCGATGATCCATGGATACCAATTCGGATCCGGCAATGCGAAATATCGCGTCGACGCGACCGATGCGATTTGGCGACAAGAGAGAAGAGGATGATCACCAACGACGAAGGGCGCACAATGCCACCCCCTCACTGCCTACTACAAAAACAATGCTCTCGCGTGCTTCCAACCGGCCTTAACCTTCCAAAAAAGCCCCCCCATGACAACTCATGCGGGATTCGGAATTTGTTGTGTCCACCCCGCTCCCTCGACTGCCTTTACCTCGGCGCCCTTGCCATCGCACCATCCACCCAATCCAATCCAATCCATCGTCGTTGGCGTGCGGAATGATGGCTGCGAATGTTGCGAGAACCTGGTGAGGGTGATGGTGACGGTGACGGTGATGGTGAGAGTGAGGGTGAGGGTGGACGTGACCGTGACGGTGAGGGCAGCGCGCCAAAATGCACACACTCGCCGCGTGGCGCCTTGCTCGCTTTCGTGCCGGGCAAGGTACGAACGGATGAGTTGCGGGCTCGATTCCTGGCGTTAGCCGGGTAATTAATAATGGGCGTGGAGCCCGCCCTTGGGGAATCATGATGTGAGTGCGGGGAGTGGACAACAGCAGCAGCAGCAGCAGCAGTTGATGGACCACAAAACTGAAAACAAAAATGGATTTCGATTTCCTCCGCTCTTCCTATTCCTGAGACTGCCTGACTGACTCATCTTCCTAACCGAGTACATTCATTGCGAGCTGACGAAGCATTGCAAGCTGACCCTCGAGCAACAAGTCTCTCCACTCCAGATTCTAGACCAGATGCTGTCTAGATTGCAAACCAGAGCCGCCGGGCCGTGCCGTCCCGTGCCAGACGCGATCCATTTCATCATTCCAAATTCCAATGTCTCTTTCGATTCATATTCATAGCAGCCTTTGACGTCCAAAGCTTCTTAATCCCACGTAACAAAAAATATAAGACCGAGGGGGGGAGGGATGAGATCTCTTATTGTTGATCCTCCAACACAACTTGTTGTGCCAGCCCCTATTCAATATGTATTATCTTCTTGTCTTGAGGATCATCCCTTCTTTTACGCGCTGAAAGAGACATCCATAAAGACTGCGACAGTAACCACAACCCTGTGCAAAACGCTCTCCCGTCTCGTCTGTCAAGGAGCAAGGACAAATGTCTTCCTTCGACCGATTAATCAGCTTACTTGGCCATTGCTCGTTCGCGGACACTGGAAACGCCAAACTTGACGCGCGGCTCAACATCTCAAAGGACGACTCAGAATTGAATTACGCATAGTGTTCTAAGCATTCCCATCCATGTTATATCAACTTTCTTTTCGCAGCTTTGAGCTCCGAAAGCCATCTCGGAGTTCCAAGTAACGCTTCAAGCACTGGCTCTTGCTTCGGCCTCGCACCGTGGCCTGTATCCTATCCCACCTCGACGGTGTGCCCTTCGGAAATGCTTTGAGACCAGCCAGCAACGCCTTGTCTTCACCATCTGACCAGGCGACGCTCCCTGCATTGCCAGGGGCAGGAGAAGGATCATCCTCCTCGTCCACAAGCTGCCATCCCTCCTCAAACTCCTCTCTCAGGCTGAGATCCAATGATATCTGCCGGCTCGACACTTTCCTCTGTGCCAAGAACTTGGCATACGCATCCTCGTCGCCAGGCTTCTTGTCTGCCAGAGCCTTTGCCATTTGGATTACATTGTCCACCGTGCGAGAACCGCCAAAACTTTGGGCGATCACTTGCCACCTTCTCGCTGTTCCTCTCGGGTGCTTGGCAAGCTGCTTTCTCAGGAATGCAACCTCCTCCTCACTCCACTCCCCTTCCACGACTGCGCCGTCACTCTCCCCCGTCCCATTCCAGCTAGCATTTCCTTCCTGCGCCTCTAGGATCCCTCCCGTTCCATCGACTTGTGGCGACGAATCCACAGCCCTGGCAGCCCCGGCATGCTTCCTGGATCTAGAAATCTTCTTGTCCGCGGCGGCATCCACAGCAAGAGGAGCTGGAGATGGGTCGAGAGGAGCAACGATCACACCCTGGCCGACGCTGCAATCGCCAGCCGTGAGAGAAATGGGAGCAAGCGGGCCCAGAATGAGCGACACTGCTATCCAGGCTGCAACGAGCTGCGCAATCGACGACCACGCCGCCACCCACGCGCAGCAAAGCAGCACAGACATACCTAGGATCACGCAGATGGCGGCGTGCCTCCTGTCCACGATGGGATCTCCTTGCTGGGGTGGAACACCCGCATTGGATTGCAAGCGGAAGTTGGGCCGGCACTCGTCCACGAAATCGAAGTCCATGCCTTCACCCAAGAGCCCTAGCTAGGGTTTGTGTTTCTTAAAAACGGCAAAAAGCTCGTTCGCTTATACATTGTATCTCGAGGAACAAAATTTGGTAGGAAAGGAGAATACGCGGGGTCATAGATACTGCAGCCATGCGTCACCTTCGATGAACCTCTCGTCCAAGAAAGGCTGGGCCTCCGCCTCCGTTAGCACATACGACCATGGAACACGACGCATGCCGTTTGCTCCTGGACCCGTGCAGTTGAACTCGCCGTAGAAAACAGTCCTGGAGCTCCACCGCAAAATCCAGATATCTCCATGAGAAGAACGATCATCCAGCTTAAAATTGAGATGTGATGACTTACATGTCTCTGGATGAATCCCCCCAGTCGTCCCAGCCGCCGGGGTTGATAACGGAGTCCATATAGCAGTAGAGGAAGACGACGCGAGAGAAGGGGCCCCAAGCACGGCCCAGGTACACCAAGCCATTCCCCAGGATCCGGCAGTTTACGAACGAGAAGCCCGTGTTGTCACTCGCGTTTTGCCTCTTTTGAGCAGTCAGCGCTCCGCTGCCAATGGCGTTGAGCTCGCAATCCTAACAGACACACAAAACCGCTCTTGAGCAACGTCACTCGGCCACAGGCCCATGCAAACCTTGTACAGGGAGCGGCCGTTGCCGAATATAAAGTCCACCGATCCCTGGATGAAGCAGCTCTTGAAGTAGTGACGGCCCGAGTGATCGTACAGAGTGTCTTGAGCACCAATGAAGTTGCACTCGTAGAATGCAGCCATGTCTCCGGTGATTTGGAACGCCACGGCTTGCGAGCCGGCGGGCTGCACCGGAGCCGAGTTCTATGGAAATGAAACACCATAGAAGTCAGAGAAGTTGACGGGAGAATTGAATTCACCTTGAACGTGATACCCCTGGCACTGAAGTAGGGAGCACTGACGTGAACCGTGGCTGTGTGGAACGTCCCAAGGTGAGAGCCATCCACGCCCAGTTTTCCTGCGTAGTCATCCCATACAATCGTTGTTAAGTCGGCCCCTGATCCTTGAAGCGTAATGTATGGCTTGCTTTCCACGATCTTCACTTTCTCCCTGGGACAACGGCACGATCATATCAAATGGCAGGCAAATCTACACGTTCTGAGAGAAAGAGAGATCAGAAACTCACTGGTAGACCCCCGGCGAGACAAAGATGGTGATTGGGACGGTGTTGTTCACCGGGACAGCATCGATGGCCTCTTGAACGGATGCATGGTCGCCATTCCCGTCCTGATCCACCACCACGAAGCTGGTCGTGAGGTTGGAATCGAAGAACTTGTGCTGTAGCCACCCAACCTTGGGCGATGCCTGTCGATGCCTTAGCTTGCATTGTGTCTCAATCTCCCTCAGCCAATCCACATAGCGCTTCCGATTCTCCGGGCAAGATCGACAGGAAGGAGAAGAAGACGACATCGCACTCTGATTGACGCGCATGGCGCCAGCAGCACGGGGAGCGCCGGCGGTGCCATCGCTCGCATCCAAACTCACGGAGCCGGGATCCAACGCGAGGCTGCCCAATGCCGGACACAGGAAAGAATGCGAGCTGACGACGAGCGCGAACATGGACATGATTGCCCATCGCGATGTTTGGCGAGCGCGAGCCATGGGCTCCGGTGCTCCACGGCCGGGGCGCCCAACGCGAAAGGTGAAAGCTTTAGGGCCCAAAGTGCGTGAGCTATCTAAAATGTGCCACCACTCCACATTTCAAACCCCACGCGAATATGCGCCACCCCTCCGGCACTTAGCTGTGAACTTGAAAGCATTCGAGGCGGGGAAAGCGTTGCAGCAGTTCTTCCCTGGATCGTCTCTGCCAGAGAAACAGTGATAGCATCGTGTTCGTCGTGCTTCGGGGCTCACACACCTTAATGTTGATGCATCCGTTCACGTCGAGCGTATGCAGTGTCTTGGAGCAGTAGCATGCCAAGGCGTCCAATCCTTCGTCCGTCACACCCAGAATACCGTGTAGGCTGCGAAAGAAGCAATCACTTGACTCACAGAACAGCAGACAACGAAGAGAGAATGGCCTCGTTTACCTCAAAAGCTTGAGCGGACAAGTCAGTGCTTTCAGTCCAGCGTCCGTGATCCTCACGCACCTGAGGACAGCGAGTGACACCAATGGATGCAAGCGTATGAAGCTTACCAGCTCAGACACAGGGACTCGAGTTTATGGCACTTTGAAATCGAAACTAAGCAGTCGGATGAAAGTTCCTGCACAAGCATCACCGCCGGATAAAAGTGCCCGGATGACGTTTCTTGCATACCTGTGCACCAGTTAGCTCCAGGACTTTGAGTTCCTCAAGGTTTCCAATCAGAGCCAAAGATTTGGGAGTGAATCTGTGACGCGAGGCAAGAGAAACACATTCAGGTCCTTGAAAGAAACGAGGCCTACTTATACTTACCCAGAGAGAGCGTATAAATAGAGCTCCTCCAGCTGCAAGCACACGTTCAAAATCTCGCAAAGCCCCTCGTCCGTTAGTTTCACGCACCTTTCACAAGAACTAGACGTTTAGAAAGGCAACCGAGGCAATAAACGCATATAGATGCAAACCGCGTGAGGTTCAAGCTTCGTATGGATGGACTGTGCTCCGCGAGGTGGCGCATGCTTTGATCCGTGATACTCTGCTCAAAGAATCACTAGTACCAAAGCCTGGGAACGTTGCGAACTATGAAAAGGCTCCGAACCTTGCAACCACTGAGGTTTAAAAGCTCCAGCTCCTTTAGATTGGTGACGATGCTTTTAACGGCAGCATCCGTGACCCTGCATTCATGCCATTATTATATTTACACCAGGCTCAAGAGAATGACAAACCACGACTTACTTGAGGTTCCAGTAGATCTCTAGTTTCGTGATGCTTCTACACTCGGAGACTACTGCCTCGACTCCAGCATCAGTTATCTTCTGGCATGCATTAAGGTTGAGACGCTGCAGCTTCTAAACAAAGAGTCTAGTAGGGACGAGCAAGAACACAAGAGAATTTCCACACCTTGCACTTTACAGCAGCCAGGTGCTCGTCTTGCACATCCTGTCCGAATTCCAGGTTGATCTCCTCCACGTCCTGGTACCGCGCCTAAGCAAGCTCGCGGTTTGTCAGCCCACGCGCCAAAACGTAGCAACTTTTACCAGCAAGAGAGCAGCCAGCAGGCGCCTCCCGGCCTGACTCTTGCCTTGCAAATCGATCGCCTTCAAAAGAAGAAACAAGGAGCGTCAGTGCAAAGATCGATCGAGGATAGAATCACACCTTCCAGAGGGACGCGTGAGACAAGAGCACGCCACGGCAGGCGGTGTTGACGCAGAGCAGCGCGCACAGATCGCGCTGCGGGAGATGCGAGCTGACGAGCAGCATTACCTGCGACACGCGCTCCTTGTCCATGAGCAAACAAACTGGCTGGACCTAGGTAGGGCAAAGTCTTGTTATATCAAATCAATCCATGGTGCCAGCCTCGACCGGGAGCGCCATGCGGGTCGCCGTGGCTCAAATGACTTCCACCTCCAGCATCGATCTCAACTTCGCCACTTGCCAGCGCCTGGCCAGAGTAAGAAGAAGAGTCTCAAGCTCTCCATCGGCTTGCATTGCGTTGGATTGTGAGTGGGCAGGAGGCTGCTGACGCCGGAGTGAAACTGCTGAGCTTACCCGAGTGCTTCTCCTTCATTGGTCGCCGAGGCGACGAGGCACTGGCGATTGCGGAGCCTCTCGACGGGCCGATTTTCCGGAGGTACCAAGCCCTGGCGAGGTAGGAAAGGATGGCCTTCTTCTCCTCGTCTCCTCTAAGCTAGCTGCGTCTCTTGGTAGAGATTTGGGCTTGTGGCTCTCTCTGGGCGGATTCCAAGAGAAGGGGCCGGACGAGGACCACGCGTATAACACTCACGTCCTGCTCGACGACCTTGGCTCAGTGCGCTCGTGCTACAGGAAGGTCCACCTGTAAGTAGAAAACGTAGAAGTTCTCGTCATCTTTCTCATTGCCTGGCTTCCAGGTTTGATGTGGATGTTCCCGGAGGCCCAGTTCTAAAGGAGAGCAATCGCACTGCTCCTGGTGAGTGAGTGATGAGTGAGCTAGTACTAGTTTACGCAAGTTTTTGGACAGGAACACAAGTGGTTACTGCTCAAAGCCCGGTAGGCACACTCGGTCTGACGATATGCTACGACTTGAGATTCCCGGAGCTGTACCAGCGTCTCAGGTTTACGGAGAATGCCCAGGTCTGGACGATGATCTTCCTCACTACCTCGTTTCAGCTGGCTTTTTTGGACAGGTGCTGCTTGTTCCTTCGGCATTTACTCGCAAGACTGGAGAAGCGCACTGGGAGCTCCTCCTGCGAGCTCGTGCTGTTGAAACGCAGTGCTACGTAAGCTTTGTTATATCTCTCCTCGTCTTTCCTCACAGTCCGAGCCATAACATAGGTTCTTGCGGCGGCTCAGTCTGGGAAGCACAACGATCTCCGGGAAAGTTATGGTGATGCGATGATTATTGATCCTTGGGGAAGCGTCGTTGCAAGGTGTCCAGGTTGGATCCTCTACTTCTATGTCTCATGATCAAGAAAGCTCCGTCGGTGGTGCAGATAGATTGGTGACGGGCATCGCAGTGGCGGACATAGACGAGGAGCTTCTCAAGACAGTGAGGAGGAACATGCCAATTGCCGAGGTAATACTCTCGTCTCTTTCGTCTGTGACGCACTGGCATGTCCTCTCCTTTGCAGCATCGCAAGTATAACATATACGGGAGTGACCGCCAACTATCAACACTTTAAGGAGCTCTGGAACGTCTGTAAACAAGTTCTTCATCTAAGTCCTCTCGGCCTTGCGTTTCAGAGCCAAGGACTTGCTAAGTCGAGCTCGGCTGCTGTCGGCTACTTCATCCTCGCTCCCACTGTCGGAGACAATGAGAGGATCCTCACCGCTATCAGTCTTGGAAGTGTCCTCCTCACCTTCGTCAGTGCGAGTCGGTTCGAATGGTTTGTTGGTTGACAGCCATCTTGCTTGTTTTGGTGCTTGTTGAAGAGCTCGACAAGTTTCCTGGTGAAGACTGGCGACGACTCGAAAGTCCTCAGCTTGTCCAGGGCCGTTCGAAGACTCTGCTCGAACTGCCTGAGTAGTTTCATGCTTTCCGCTGACTAGTAGTTTTTTCCCACGCAGTTTCGCTGCTTGTCCAAGGCTAGTGGCAACCGGCTCACTAACCTCTGTCACAGGATCGGCAAGAACTCCACCGCCTTCGTGGTCTTGTGTCGCATGCTTCTCCGTAAACTGTTTTGCTTTCATATCAAACGCCGGACGATTGTGTTTGTACTCGGCAGCCTGTCGACATATTAGTTTAGGGGGTCGACAAAAGAGGAAAACTACTCACAGTTTCGCTCATCAACCCGTCATCTGGATTTGGCTCCGATAGCAGCAGTCTGATGCACAGCAGTAACGTCGCGATGTTCATCGAAGGCTTCCAAGAGCCCTGAAAAGAATTGAACTGAGAGCGCACACTAGAATTTCGTGCCACTTACGTTTGGAGGCATGTGGAGCAGATCTAGGCAAATGTGGCCACCGCTGTCAATGTTTGGATGGTAGATTGGAGTTTTAAATCTCACACTGGGGGGCTCAAAAGGGTATCTACACGTAGCCACACCACATTTTTCTAGATTGCTCGCCAAAAGCATCATCCCTTACCTCTGGGGTATCTCAATGTCGAGGAAGAACATGCCGTTGGCATAAACGGTCTCCTCGGGGCCTTGAATCTCTGCCACGCCATACATGAGAGATCGACTTGCCAATGTCGATTCGAGTGAATGGAACGATTACCCACGAGCTTGAAGATGCGTGAGAGTGTCTTGCGAGGGCCAGACACACGCACCTGGCGGAGGATTCGATTGCATCAGCTGCAGCTCCTTGCGCAGCCTTGCGGCTTGCCTCGCCGCCATAGCCCTTCCCGCCAATTACCACCCTTTGAAACCTTAGGGCAACTAACTTTGTTTAACAAAAAAGTGTAAGCTGTGATGTCATAAACCCTAGAACGAGGAGGAAGGAGCTGCTATGGCCGTGAAAGCGGAGACACTGGAGTGGAAGAGAAGGTACGTGTTGCCTGCCTGCACTCCATGAGTCAATGTGGCATTCCCTGTCCAGATCGGTTGTCATTGTCGCGCTCACGGTGCTCACAAGCTCACAAGGGATCCTGATTGCTTGGACCAAGCGTGCGGGATTCTACAAATACAGTGTCACAACGGCAAATTTCCTGGTCTGTGTTGGGTGAGATTTGCTGCCATTGCTTTGCTCAATTCCACTTTCTGTCTGCAGGTGGAGCTTCTAAAATGCGTTATTTCTCTTGTGGCTTTGTTCAGAGTGTGGCAAAACGAAGGCGTCACGGAGGATAACAAGTAATGCGCAGTATGCATTCTCCACCCACCTCAGAATTTTGTTTGTTTCCTCTTTTCCTTTGCTTGACATTCTTTCTCTTTTCTACTTGTCCAGGCTCAACACAACATTTGACGAAGTAAAAGTTTATCCGATTCCGGCAATGCTCTATCTCGTCAAGAATCTCTTGCAGGTACTTGAGATACAATTTTTTCGCTTTCTCTGTGCTCATGCCTTGTGTCTGTCGTAGTATTACATATTTATCTACGTGGACGCACCAAGCTATCAGGTCCTCAAGAATCTAAATATTATCAGCACCGGTGTTTTGTACTGGCTATTCTTGAGCAGAAAGTAAGTGTCTCAACATTTTTTAGAGAGTGTCAGCATAATAACGTGTTGAATGTTATCAAGGCTGTCAAACATCCAGTGGTGTGCGTTTCTCTTATTGGCTTTGGGTTGTACCACAGCGCAACTTAACCCATCGTAAGTGCCGTTATTCCGACTGCCTTGTTTACCTTCTCATTGTTTCCTTCCGATTGGAAGATCCGAGCACGTGTTCCAGACTCATATGGAAGGCTGGACAATGGCTATTGTAAGAACGTTTTCTGTTTGAACACATTGACACATTCTTCTCATGTTCGCAGATCATGGCTTTGCTAAGTGGTTTCGCTGGTGTCTACACCGAGGTAGCCTTATCTGCTTTTAGTGTCATAGACTACTCGCGTTCACCATATTGTCTTTGCTTGCGCAGGCAATCATGAAGAAGAGGCCATCTCGGAACATCAATGTTCAAAACTTCTGGCTCTACATCTTCGGTGTGGTTTTCAACTTTGGAGCAATGGTTGTGCAAGACTTCAACGCGATCGCCGAGAGGTGAGCCTCACTTGCTCAAGCATTTCCTTGTTCTACGCCGCATGCTTGCAGGGGCTTTTTCCATGGATACACCATGAGCACGTTTATTATGATCATCAATCATGCTCTAAGGTGAGCCCTGCACCACATCGGTTTTTTCCAGAGTCCTAGCTTGTTTCACTTCCAGTGGCATCGCTGTATCCTTGGTTATGAAGTTCGCAGACAACATTGTCAAGGTATAGCGACTATAGTGATTGTATTGTCAATCAAGGCACTCATGCAAATGTGGTTTGTAATTTCTTCTTCTTCTCACAGGTGTATTCCACATCTGTCGCAATGCTCTTCACTGCTCTACTGTCGATGGGCCTCTTCGGGTTTCGCCTGACTCTTCCATTCTGCCTTGGGACAATGTAAGCCGAGTGACACGAGCAAAACCCTTTCGTTTCTCCAACAGGGCGTGCTTGTGACTTGCAGGATAGTTTCCGTGGCCGTCTACTTACACTCCCAAGGGAAAGCCACATGAACAGGAGACGAGTTGGGTGTATTTCTATTTGGATTTTTGTTTACATGCATTGCTGACAAAGGTGGTGACGTCGAGGAATCTAGTTAACCGACTCTTAGATATTTTGAGAAAAGAGAATGGCGGCCGGTGACGTGACATGACTAGAGTGCAAAACTGGTGTCCATGCGCTCCACCACGTGGCCGCGGGAAAAGGTTTTGGATGTCTCTCGCAGGCAGGTGCCCACGGGCGGATTAATGGCGGCCACGACCATCAGTGGCACCACCATCGCCTCGCCTCGCCCCGGGACAGCGCCGCTCAGCATCCACATTACTGGCGTCCCTGGCGCCGGCGACGACAGTTGGATCCGCGACGCTTTGCTGCTGGAGAGCCTGGATTCCAATCCCGCCACTTGCTCGGGAGGAGGATTCGAGTACGCCGACGACGATCACGTCGATTTCCCTGCCGCGTCCCCGTCTGGTTGGAGCTCAGGATCCGTCACCCCGAAGAAGCTCGTGCTTCGGGCGAGCAGCGTCTGCCCGAAGGCTCCGCGCAAGCGGAGGGCGGCAGCAGCTATGAATAGGAGCCAGAGGGAGACGTTTAACTCCGCGGAGCTAGAGGAGTTCTTGTTGGATCAAGAGCTGCGTTTCAAGTCAGACAGGCAGGCTGATTGATTAGCTAATACCCAAGCTTTTCTTTTCTTTTGCCATTGTGCAAGCTCAAAAGCAGTGCAGCGTAGTATATAAGATATTTACATTGATTCTATGGAGTGACGCTTTGATTTATTGATCAGTGAAGATTTGTTTGTGATCGTCACGGTAAAAGAACAAAACAAAAAAAGCGTTTTTGCCCAGTTCAATCATTTGCACGTTGGTTAACCTCATACTCTTGCACGAGCTCAGGCGCCACGTTGTCGCTTGGCTCCCACGAGTCCTTGTCCGAATCCGCCCACTTCACCAGGTACTCGATGCTCTCGCCTTGGACGCGCTTGTCCAAGATCCTCTCGACAATCCCATACTCGAGCCCGGCCTCGTAGTCCTTGATCAAATCGTCCGAGATCTCACTCGCCGGGAGCCAGCTATCGGGTGTCTCGTCGCTCCACTTGACCAGGTACTCCACCTTGTTCCCTGCCGCCATCCGCTTGTCCAACACCTGATCCACGGACACCGTCTCGTAGCACGCCTCGTCCAGGAGCCTCACCACTTGGTCCAGCGCCAGCCGCCGCGCAAACTGCAAAGGATTGGCTTTCGGTGTCCGGTTGAGGAGATCCTGGGCCAGCTTCAAGGAGCTCCTGCCTTTCGAGTCCTCCACGTCCGGATCGGCCCCCAGCTCCAGCAAGGCCTTGACTACATTCGAGTGTACATAGCCCGCAGCAATGTGAAGCGCTGTGTACCCGTCTTGATCCTGCCAGTCTATGTCCGCTCCAGCCTCGATCAAACTCCTGACGCAGCTCTCCGATCCCAGCCCCGCGGCAAACAGCAGCGCCGTCCTCTTGTTGTCGTCGATGGCATCAACGTCCCTGCCCTCGTCCTCGAGCAGCTCCATAAGTTTGCTTTCGTCCGCCTTCTTCGCGCCCTGCCACCACGGAGTCACGTACTCGGACAAGACGTCGCCGGCAATGTTCTCGGCCGGCTCCCATGTGTCCGGATGATCGTCCTTCCACTCGATCAGGTACTGCATCTCGCGGTTCACTACCCTGCTTCCCAAGATCCTGTTCACCTCTCCAAAGTTCTCGTGAGGAGCCGCCAAGCTCCCGTTGTCTTTCCCGATAGCAAGCGCTTCCTCTGCTTGGACGGCTGGTTTCTCTTGAACACACCTCAACCTTGTCCTGGGCAATCGCGGCAGCGAGAACCTGCTGGGGACGGCGAGCTGAGCAGTCCCAATTCCAGGGAGCGCAGCTCTTAGTGTCGCTGCTGAAAGACCTAGACTGACGCCTGCCATTCTCTTCAGATCTTACCCCTGCGCTTCTCCGGCTCGCCGACATCGATCGCCCATCGCCAAGCGCGCACCCATGGATAATGTTTTTCGGAGCAAAGGCCATTAGAAACTCGCCACGTGGCTAAGGATGCCACGCCAGCCCTTAGGTTACCTAGATGCCCAGTCGCTGCTTGAGAAGTTTATAGCGTCTCACCCAATGAAGAAAGGCAATCTTCTACCCAGAAACTACCAGTGAAAAGAGGGCCTTAGATGTGAGAATTTCTCACCTTTTGCACATGGCAAGTTCTTTTTATCGCTTGCTCTTGCATGCATTGAAGGGTTTTGATTTTGTATTCTATTTCCCCTTGGATAACCTCAAGTAAAAGTTTTATTTGGTTCTTGCAAAGTGGATCTTCAAAGTACGGCTTGAGTAAGTTTATGTGGAACACTGGGTGCATCTTCCCCATCTCTCGAGAAGTCGAAGACAGTAAGCCACTTTATTGATTCGTGCCTCAATCTTGTAAACCCCCGTGAACTTGCTTAAGGAACTCAAGATCAATTCATTTATAGGAATATATGTATTTTTACCTTTGGGTCAACTTTTGGTTGATCCCACTTGGTAGCCTAAGGTTTTTGGTGTTTAGCCACACGTTCTCCCTAACTTAGAACTCTACATCCCGATGTTTCTAGTTCGCATATTTGGTTTGCCTTTGTTAAGCCCATTCCAAACAATCCCTCACTAGATTCCAAATGTTAAGTCTCTCCACCGTGAATGCTTCCACTGTGAGTAACTCTCCATGGTACTCGGCCACGCCGAGCTCCATAAGACCTTCAATAACTCACCCATTGATGACTTCCCATGGATTCACCCCGATACTCGAATGTGGTGAATTGTTATAATACATTTCCGCAAGTCCCAAATGACTTACCCAATCGGTCTGGTCTCCTGAGACATAACATCACAAATAATCCTCCAACTACCTATTCACCCTTTCCATTTGTCCGTCTGTCAAGAAGTGTTAGTGCCATCAAACTTGACTTAATACCCCATACCTGTCTATGAGTGATAGGCTGTGCTGAATTTCAACTTGGTGCGATACTGTTTTAGGAGAGTCCTCCAGAACCTACTAGTGAAGATTTTATCTCGATCTGAGATGATCTCTTCTGGCCTTCCCCGCACTCAAACCATTTGTTCGAAGAACAGCTTCACCACACCTTCTGCATCCACTTCTGTTGTGATGGGTATGAAATGTGCCATTTGTGAAAATCAATCCATCACCACGAATATCGCATCAAACCCCTCGCTTGGGGGGAGTCCCGTGATGAAGTCCATTTTAAAACATTTCCACTGACAATCTAGAATTGGGATGCTTTGCAACAAGCCCCCACTAGCGTTAGTCACGGCTTTGACCTGCTAACATGTTGGATATGTCTTTACATAGTCTTGGACATCCTTAGCCATATTTAGCCAGTAGTACTTCCTTTTGAGTAAGCCTATTGTTTTGGGCACTCTGCCGTGTCTGGCAAGAGGTCTGTCATGACACTCTTCTAAGGCTACCTTCCTTAGTTCCCCTTTTGGAACATATACCCTCGTTTGCTTGTAATAGATGAGTTTGTTGCGTTCTGCATAACCCGTTTTCTCTTCCGTTGGCAGCTCACCTGTTTGGTGAGCTTCCCGTGCTTCTAGATTCCTCAGCAACACTTCTTGTGCTAGACCATCGTTCTCATATGTTGTCCGCACATTGTCCCAAAAGGTTGCTGTCACGCTGGATATTGCTAACTTCAAACTCGCTTTTCAACTTAGCGCATCTGCCATGATGTTGCTCTTCCCAGGCTTGTACAGAATCTCGCAATCAAACTTAGCCAAAGCATTGGCCCACCAACCCTATTTCCCCCTTAGGTCGGGCTGTGATAAGAAGTGTTTTGTTGCCATATTGTCTATGTAAACCTTGAAGTGTCTCCCAATTTAGTGTCGCCACTCCTTGAGTGCCTTGACCACCGCAAACAATTCCTTCTCGTGGGCAAGCCACTTCTGTTGAGCCTTTTCCAACTTCTTCGAGAAGAACACTATTGGATGGTTGTCTTGCTTCAAAACTGCGCTCAACGCAAAATCTGAAGCATCCGTTAGTCCTTACCAAAGTCTGGTAACGCCAACACAAGAGCCTTCCTCAACTTTCCTTTGAGGTGGACAAATACCGCATCGCATTCCGCTGTCCATACCATCTTCCCTTTTCTCGTTTAGTCTATTAAGGGTAGAGCTACTCTTGAATAGTGTCTGATAAACTTTTGGTAGTAGTTGCATAGCCCCAAGAACACCCTCAACTCATGTACACTCGATGGTCGCTCCCATTCCTAGATCGCTTGGACCTTCTCCAGGTCTACCTTGAGCCCGTCCTGGCCCACCACATGCCCGAGAAACTTTACCTTTTGTTGACCCTAATACAAAATACATTGCAATACATCGTCATTCTGCCTATCTATTCGGCTCTTCACAGCAATGTCTTACTTACCCACCGCCTTCAAGGGATCAAAGGCGTGGGACTAGCACCTTCAAGCACTTGTTCACAGTCTCAACTTAGCTTGGCACAAGCAGGTGAGTGCATTCTTCTTGTAGTGTAGTTTTAGATTTAGGGACTAGATTAGATTTGAATCTCCTAGGAAGATCTTGTGTGGACGTTTTCCTCTCAGTCCAGAGAGTCCAGGAGTTTTCACTGGCGACCACGGTGGGATAGAGCAGATCAAGACGATCATTTTCCCCAAAACTTCAAGGAAAACGGACCAAAGACGCTCAAGAAAATGGCATAGGAAGAAAAAGCCCCAAAAATCAAGAAAAACAAGACCGTAAAACAAAAACGGTGGAAGAGCATGAAGGAATGAAGAAAAAAATGGAGCGTAAGACCAAAAGATGAAGAACACTTGAAGATTGAAGCCACCCAAGTAGTGGAAAACTTGGAGCGTACGCGTAACTATTTTTGGCGAGAGGTTGAAGAAAGCGAATATTCCAAGAATCTGCGAGAAGGAAACGACCAAGGGAAAATTCTAGCGGCTGGAGATGGAGGAAGAATGAAAAAGCACGACTGCCCATTTGGAGACACAAGCTGTACAAGATACGAGGACTGCCTTTTGTGTGGTTTCAGAAATTGTGCAAAACCGTACAAGCAATGCTATCCAAAATGGCGATGTGACACTTGCAAGCAAGCAAAAGCTAGACTTCGAATCAAGGATGAAAATGCCATAGCGGAGGAGAGAAGAAAACGAGAAGAAATAGCGCAAGAAAATGACACTAAAAAGAGAGACGATAGTTTAGAACAAGCAGCGAAACAAAGCTTTAGTTGCTTACAAAAACTTCAAGAAACGATTCTGTGACTCTTCTACAAATTGTCTAGCAGATAGGAAGGATGCAAAAATGAGGAAATGTTGAAAGAAAAATATGTTTACTTCGATTTCTTTGCAACTCGAAGAATCCTGACTTGGGTGTATCGCGGACACCTCTTTCAACAAACAATTGTCGAATTCCTAGGCATACACAAACATGAAACTTTTCAACCATTAACGCTTGCTTTCAACACTGATTTGACGAGAGTCATAGCAGCAATAGAGTGTGGAACCTTTGAACCACAAGTTCGTTGGTTTGTGGACACTCTTAGATTTAGAGATTTCGAAGAGAACGCGGAATTACTTTACCGACTTCTTCAAAGTCCTCTTCGTGTAACGCTACCAACAAGCACTCTTATCGAACTATATACTATAGCATATTGGCACCGTTTAGGACGGACGAGAATAGCTGGGGAATTAAGAAATCAAGGACAAGGCCATCAACAAAATCGAATTCGGAATTCGAGATTAAGAAACCGACGGGACCCTGAACTTGAGACAAGTTCAAGCGAACGACTTGGAAACTCGAGGATAACAAGTCGAAGGAGGAGAAATTTAAGACAGGATCACAATAGGCCAAGATTAAATACAGTACCGAACTTCAACTTTGACACTGAGGTCCAACGCCGAAACCCCAGCCTAGAGCAACATATCACTCGCAACCAACAAGGAAGAGTGCGTCCAAGCAGTCTCAACATTTTGAGGAGTATTTTAGGAGATCCTGCATCGAGGATTCAAACTTATAATGCAAGAGTGTTAATTGAGACTATCCCTTGGGAAGTTCGTGAAGCGATTGACTCTGATCGTGAAAGAGAACGTGCTATACGACTGAGGGAAGTAGAACACCACTGGCAAGAACAGCATCAGGGAAATGCACCATCACGAAATTGATCATAGAGAAAATTGCGCTGGATAAACCCGCGCACACATAGGCTTAAAGCAGCAAGAATCTGTTGGAAACTATATTGTGACGTGTGAACGTCATTAGAGACTAGAAACATACGAGAATTAGGACATTAAAATACAACTACTGCTGTATTCAGCATTTTCAAATACTACCAACGACTAGGAAACACAAACACTCATAGTGAGAGCTCGCATTCCAGTACGACCAAGATATTGTAAGAGACCAAAACAATTGTTCAAGAATTTAGATAAGATTGCACTCCTAAAGAGAGTTGCAATCGTTTGCATACCTGCTCGATCCCAAACTTGGAGAGCAGCACCAAATATCACTAGCAAACAGCTATATCGATCAATTTATGACACAACCGACCTCCTTCCACAAACAAAATCGTACTTACATACACCACCAGATTTTTCAAATACAAGACCTTTTCTGAGCTAGATACAGGAAAGTGACCTCGAAAAGAAACTCGGGAAGAATCAAGAAAGAAAAACTCGATTGAAGACTCAAGACACAAGAGCTTGACTTCGTATTTATACAACAAAATCACACTTGCAGAAGACTCAAGACACAAGAGCTTGACTTCGTATTTATACAACAAAACCAAACTTGCAACAGACTCAAGACGTAAAAGCTTGACTTTGCAATCTATGAAGAACAACATTTGACTCAAGACAATTTAGGCAACACATAAATTCAGGAAACTTACCTCAACATTCACGTTGAGAAGACTCAGCAAATTGAATGTACAAACACAAACCAGACCCAATCAAAATCCGGGAAAGAGATCTTCGACAAAAGAATCGAGAAGTGAAAAAGGAAGGGATAGAAAAAGAGAAATTAGAACAACAACAGCAACAAATTTTAGAAACGATATTAGAGAAGTACGACAAGGAGGATAAAGAGATTCAAGTTGCCGAGTCGAGCAACCCAGTTAAAGATAACAAAGA